TACTCCTCTGTTACTGATACTCCCCTGTTCCTGTAACTCCCCTGTTCCTGATACTCCTCTGTTCCTTGTACTCCTCTGTTATTGTAAATATATACATATACGCATAGAACATATATTGTGTTTTTACTTTATATCGTAAATATATACATATACGTCACTCCGAGTCCATTAGCGCTTGATCAAATCAGGGTTCAGTCATGTGTTTGTTGTCTATTCTGAACCAATAGAAATAATATGGCGCAAATATCTATCTTTCTATCTATCTCATTATCCAATTAGCGATATTAATCCTTCAATCGGTGCTATCAGTAAATGGAAATATTCACTTCTACTGAAACGTAGAGAAAATGTATCGTATTTTTACTTTATATCGTAAATATATACATCTCTACGTACAGATACATGTCGTATTCTATCTTTTTACCGTAAATATATTGATTATTTACACATATAGAAATAAATATTGTACAGCTTAATATTGTATATATACATAAATAAGAGAAAATATGGTTTATTAATCCTAGTTCTTATTTTGACCACTAGGCGTCGCATAATTTTGTTTTAGATTTTGCACTGAGCAATGATACACACGCACTAAATAATAAATATTATAATCTTAACAATTTTCTAAAAAGTTGAATAAAACCCTGTAAGTCTATCTTTCCGGGCAGTAATATTTTTCAATAGTTCAATTCATCTGGGCCCGATCGGTTCAGCCGTTTTGACGTTTATTGGATACAAACAGACAAACAAACAAACAGACAGACAAGCCAAATTTATATATAGATATATATATATATATACAATTTACAATTTACAATACAATATATTTATAAATATATTTTTATACATATATTGTATATATATTTGGTATATTGTATTTTAACTTTCTATTGTAAATATATACTTTTGTTCGTATATATAATTCTTATAAATATTTATGTATAAAGTAGTAACTGGTTCAGATTTAGGATTCCCAAGCAATGGTTTAATTTACTGTCACTTACTACCTGGTCATAAAGACCAGTACTTAAAATTGATGACATAGATTATGAACTTTTGTAAAGTTGATAATACTAATTTAATATATATATGTAACGTGAAAGAGAACAATTGATTTGTTTTATTAATATAAAATTTCAAAGGAAAATGTGTTTATTATATTGAAGTGCAAATTATAGATCTTAATTAATTTATTAGAGTTAAAAATGTGATATCAATGTTAAGCAATAATTTTTGAAACGTAATCTTGCAGAGTTTTTCTTTGAAACACAAGTTAACTGACGTATTGTGAGACACCTAGCGGCCAAAATTGGAACTTGGACTCTGTGGGCCTGGTTGAGAAATTACAAAAGATCAGAGAAAACATGAGATAAAACAGAGGAAACAGGAGAGAAATAAGAAGAACCAGGAGAATTTTCTCCGGCATAAGAATTTCCCTTAAAGGAACTGGTTCATTTGGTGTACCATCCCGTTTTGCCTGGTATAATCTGTATGAAGACGACTTAAGCAAAGACGATATAGGATATAAAACAGTAAACGTAAATATATGTATAATGTCTGGTTTCATAATTGACCAATGATCATTTCACATAGACTCTATGCCTTTCACTTTACAAACGATGATTTTCCGTTTTAACTATAAATCAAATGATTTTTTTATTCAACTTATTCATTATAAAGTTTATTTTTTATTTAATATAAAACTAATGAACACAACAAACAACATGACAAAATATTATATAATCTAATAATTTTACAATTTTATAGTTAACATGTAAGTCGGCTGGTTTGAAGGCTCACTGCTCCTGTATCTTTTCTTTTATTAAGTCCAACCTGGATTGTACCAAGATTGTACTGCCACCACAGTTCTCTACTTAGTAGCCTTTCTTCTTTTTGTACACTTTCAAGAAAAATTACTTTTAGAAAAGTAATTGGCTTAAACTTTTCTACCCTAGGGTGTTGAAGGGCAGCATGTTGAGATATAGATATATTATCTGTATATATATATACTAGGCTAATTTTACCATGCATAGTTACTAATAAACACTTTATATCGACGTACTTCAAAAACGGATAAGTTTGTTATAGCTAAATTCGGAACTATGAATTCAGAACAGATACGCCAGGCATAGGAACCCACATAACAACCCGACTGGACCAGATATCGTAGATTTTACGCAGACCCCGTCGACGCTATCAAAATTTTAAAAAGGAATTTTTTTTAAATATGTTGAAACCCGATATTAGACACCTCCATTTCCCCCCATATTCCTCACCCCCCTTCCCTTTTTGGTCCAGGGACGTAATAAACTTTGTTTTAGCGCAGCTCATTTTGCTCCTCCCCCCAGCCCCCAACCCCTCTTATAAGCTAAGAATTTTTAAGGGCAGATATTTACGCATTTGTGACTCGCTAGGGAATGACACATATGGCAAGATTTTGACCCCCCACTTTGAATTTAAGCCTCGTAAAAGCTGCTGCAGCTGTTTTAACTTCCTCCCCCCCCCCTCCACATTTAGCTGTCAGAACTTTGACAGATCCCTTCCTCCCTCCATATACATTTATATTTTAACTTCATGAGATAGGCACAGTTCCAAATATTACCACAAGAGGTCTCTTGAGTTGAAAGTAAAATTGAATTATATACAGAAAATAAAACTGTTATTGTTTTAAACAAAATTACATTTCACAGAATTAGATATTTGTGTTGTATCATGTGTAAATCGCTAACAATACTGTAACATGTGTAATAGTCCCATTCTCAAAGTTATGATATAAAGATAAAAATATCCAGTAGATCACAAATGTTAAAGTGTGAACTTGGTAAGTACGTCAGTTAACTACATTTACTTAATGCTTGAACCATAAAGTTACCATAAAGTTTGAAAGGAATGTTTAAATGGCTCCGATGGATTTAGCTACAAAATTTTGCTGTCAATCTGCGAAGCTGTCGTTCCAAGCTGCTCACTTCAATACCGTGAGAAACCTGAAACTACATGGGGGATGTGAATTTGATACCTAGACAAAATATGAGGTGCGGCGAAAAACGAGTTGAAATCGTAACAATTAGACGAGGTTTGCTTAAGAAAGAGGTGCGCTCTTTTACATGGCTGAGACGTAGCTCTCCAAGAAGAAAAGAACGCTCTCGGGAAGTGTACTGCAGTTTTAGGAAATAGAAAAACAAATTCAGATCGATTTGTTTACAATTAAGGAAACTGAGCGTACACTTTTTGTAAACAAGACCCACAATGGGGTATCTCTGGTACTTGTATGCTTGATGGGTAGCAGTCAAAGAGAATAGAATATATATTAGAGGGGAATTTAGCGAATCTCTCGGTATGAATTTTTTCAGTCCCTTTCAGCCTGAAAGGGAGTTCAAAGTGTACAAATCATGTAAATGTTCACAAATTATATGCAGTAGAGTACATTAATACAGTATGTTCCCTGGACTATATCATTTCAATTTCAAATTTTTTAAAACTGTTAAATAAACTTTATAATGAATTTGGTGAATAAAAAACATCATTTGATTTATAGTTATAACGGAAAATCATGTTTTTTGTAAAGTGAAAGGCATAGAGTCTATGTGAAATGATCATTGGTCAATTATGAAACCAGCCTATTTCATAATTTGGTTTTCTTTTAATATTAATTTTAGATTTTCTATAAAATGATATTCCAGGGCCCTAAAGGTTATATAGCATAAATAAGTGATGTACACCTGCAGTATGAAAACAGTACAACAAAATGGCCGTTTTACACTTTTTTCTAGTAAATTCCCCTCTAATATATATTCTATTCTCTTTGGTAGCAGTGTAACAAAAACAATAAATAATTAGATTGAACAAATTTTCAGACAAATTTATTTGATTTCAGGTACAGAACATTGATACAAAATGTGTATAAAATTATTACACTCTTTTATATTTAACAAAGACGACATTAAGATATTTTTCTGATTTGATTAAAGTTATACATGATAGGCAATGATACATCATAGATAGTTTCAAAAATACATAATCAAAATATAACACACATAATGAATTTGACAATGTAATATTACACAAATATTTAGTGGTTATAACTTTGTTTCTTGGAAATAGATTCTAGTGTGCAATAGATGGCAACGCAAAATTTGTACACTCTCAGTACAGTTGTATTCTGACGTCACAGGTGTCAATTCAGTTTTTGTGTTCAGCAAAATTATTATTAATAGTGATTATTTTAGAAAATAGTGTTTATCTTACAGTAAAATAAGTGCAATTTCATGTGTTCTATATTTTCTGTTTTATGTAATCTCGGGGGACAAGTCAACTAATGTGAGAAAATTTCGTTTTCCTTGTTTATTCGACACTTGTGACGTCGTGCATAATTGGTCCATTTCTCTGTTGCCCTCTATTGTACTTGATACAGTGTAACCCTTAATAACGAATACATCGGAAGAATTCATCAAATGTCGTCTTGACAATTTTTCAATGAGTTTAATACTATATTACGTAATTTTCATTATTTGCGAAAATAAATAAATAGCCATGAATATGCGGAAACAGTTGTAAAGAGTTCCATATAATCATTTAATTAAAAAACTAAATATCTGCAACATTCCATTATCAGAAAGTGAAGAATACGACATTTGAGGAGTTCTTTCGATGTATTCGTTATTAAGGGTTTCACTGTATAATCTTTTTTGTTTACTGGAAATTATAAAATTTTTTGTTAATTTTCGAAAAAATGCACATTTTTTTCCTATTTTCCCCCAAAATAGCCTTCTTTCTTTCATTGCATTCCATGAAGTTTATAAAACTATGAAAGATTTTTTTTGAGAACATAGTTCTTTTGCATTGATTAATAAAATTTCATAAAAATATATTTTTTTTCTGATAAACAAGCTCTTTATCAAGTCTACTCTTTCAATTTTAAGCTCGATTATATGAAGTAGAGTTTGCTTTAGAAGTAAGGAAATATTTTTGATTCACAGATTTTTAAAGTTCTTTTTTTTTCGGGGGGGGGGGGCAGTAAATTACAAAAAAATCTTAAGTTTTCCTGTAATACAAATAAAAGCTCAGTTTTTTCCTTGCTTGTTTCTGTTGTGAAAATTCATTTTTCTATTATTACATAGTCTTTATCATTGACATTTAAAAAGTTAAATCGTTTATAGCATTAAGAATAAATGAACATATTTTTTTCTGGTAAAATGAATATATCTATTTTGTATTATGAAGGGTCCAATATAAGATATATTTATCTGGTAAAATAAATATATCTATTATGTATTCTGAAGGATCCAATACAGGATATATTTATTTGTATATGGAGTATACATTCTTATATTTCTATACTGAAAACAAATATATATATATATTGTGGAAATATGAAATATAAGAAAAGTAACAAGATTTTTCTATATTTTTCACTTCTTAGAAAAAGGAATGGTTTCAGTAGAACTTTTGAAAATAGGATCGTTAACAGTTTTAAAACTGATAAAAAATACATAATTTTAGTTAGATTATAAGTATTATTATGCATTATAACAATGCAATTTCACAGTGAAACCAGACAAATTTTGATTTAACTATCTATAGATTAATAACAACACAGATAGAACACTAGATGTCGTCTTTTCAAGATTTAGGAGGTTTTTCCTTTTACAATATCCGTGAGGCAAACGCCCAAAGGGATTACGCGCATTCTGCATACAAAGCCAAGACAGAGTGAGAGTCTGTTCTACGCCAGGTGCGTGTAACTCCTTTGGGCTTCTGGCACAAGGTAAAATTGTGAACGAAAAACCCCTTAATCTTGAAAAGACTAAATCTGGTGTTCTATCTGTATTGTTATTAATCTATGAACCTATCACTCAGGAGTTAGCAGACATTAAGAAATTTTGCCACAAACTCTGATTTTCTAATTCTATATCTTAGCACCACAATCTCGTAGATATTATATCTTAGCACCACAATCTCGTAGATCTTAGCACCACAATCTCGTAGATCTTATATGTTTCTCAAACTATAAATTCTGTTTTAACAAAGTTAGAAATATCAAAGGTTAACAACATCAGGTTGCAAAGATATAAGAATAAGCAAATTTGAGTTCGTGGCATAAACTTAATTCCTTAGATTTAAGAATTAAGATGATAGAAAATGTCGTGATTGCATTTGTTCAAGAACTTTTAGAGATTGTTTATTTTTTTAATTTTCTCAAACTATGTGTTCAAAACTCAAAACTCAAAATGCAATTACAACATTTCTTTATCAATTTACACTGGCAACTTTTGTGTTGGATAGTCATAATCTCAATCCCTTGATTTCAATATCCGCTGCGGGCACTTTTAATTTGATGATCTATAAAAAAGTACCTTTCCTTGTCTCTTCATCTTAGTTATTTCTCTATCCCTTGATCAGAGCTCCCTTCAGCCTTTGACTGGGTACGATCATCATGCTGGATATCGAAAACAGATTAAATTAATCTGCAGATTAACAAAAGATCGAGATTAAGCATTGATCTTAATATCCACAATACAAAAGTTTCCAGGTCTGTATGAATGTGTGGAATAGATTTCTTCATATTTCTAGAGAACTTGACATCATAGGCCTTCATCTGTATTCTATATATTTCTCTAATTACTTATTTTCTGGTAATTACTTTACAAGGAATAAGAGTAACTAGAACAGGGAGAAAGGGTATAGGGGGGGGGGGGGTAATACTTGAAGAAAACTAAATGTACTTTGCACTGTACATAACAGATAAACTATACATTTACGTACAGTATGTAAAAACATCAATTATTTTTCTTATATAATTAGTTTAAATAATATCAGAATATTTTTTGATATATTGACTATAGAACCGGGCTCATATAGAAGCTAGGAATGTCTGTTATCTGAATATTTCTTGATATATTGACTGTAGAACCGCGCTTATATAGAAGCTCGGGCATCCTGCCTGTTAGCTGAATATTTCTTGATCTATTGACTGTAGAACCAGGCTTATATAGAAGCTAGGGCATCCTGCCTGTTATCTGAAAAATAAATATAAAATTTTAAAATCACAAAATTTTTAAAAAAAAATTAGACAGAATATAATATCAAATATGAGACAATTTTTTTTTTAAATAGTAGACATGAATATGACACCAAAAATGTTCTTATTTAAAAACACATTTTCTAAAAAAAGTATGTTTTTCTTCCGGTTCTAAGATTTACCATATTTCAAATCTAGGATGGCTCTGTAAATGGTGCAAACAAAAGCCTTGTATCATGGTCAATGGTCATTTTATGCAAGATAAAAGTTTAGAAAATATTTTGTGTACATAACCAGAGAACTCTAAAATAGGAAGACGACTTTTTAAAATAAAGTTATAGGTTTTAAAAGTTCAATAAACAAAAAGTCACAGAAATTGTTCAGTGTAAACAGACCCATTTTAACTAAATTGATTTTTTATTAAGTGTCTAATGTATCGCTAGGACGTCACCTTCCTATTCTATTGTTTTCTGAGTTTGTTCATTGTCATAAGAGAAAACTTAAAGATAACAAAACTTTAAAATGTGGAGTCTTTTAACAGTAAAAAAATAGAAACTGTTGGCGTAACTTCAAGGACCTTTTGGGAGTATGGACGATAGAGTAATTCGTGTGTTAATCTCTAAAATTGTATTTAAATTAGCGGAAAACTGCAGAGTGTACGCTAGCGAACTGTAAGAACTCAAAACAGCTGACTATAACTCGAGAATCCTGAACATTCTACAATTTAACCCAGAACTCTGGAGACACCGCAAGAATTTATAAAATGTCGTTTTCAAAATCTACTGATAATGAAATGTTGCAGATATTTTTTTTTAAAAACTATTCCCACATATTTCATGGCAATTTATTTATTTCTAAAATCACTGAGATTTGGTATAATAGCATAACACCCATTAAAAAAATGTCAAGTCAAAGTTTTCTTAAGTTTTTTTATGTTTCCGAAGTTCTGGATTAAACTGTTTGTCCAGCATGATAATAAAAAATTTGAATGAAACTATTAATTTCACAAAAAGCATGCATCTTGAAGTATCGCGTACAGACCCTTTATAGTTAACGATATTTACCTATAAATATATATCCTGGAGGTACATAACTACTGGGTTGGTCCTGCTCTCGTAATAATGGTTCACGTACACCCAGCGACTAAAGTACAGTACCGTACATTAAATATAGTTTTCAAGTGTACACAAAAAAATTAGATATTTTCTAGATTTTTAAAAATATGTAATCATTGTATGTAAACATTTTTAAGATCTACAGAGGGAGGATTTATGTACACTTTAAGACATTCAAAATACAAAAATCAAAATCTGTTAAAAAATTTCAAATCTGAGTTCCAAGAATGGTCGAGATGAGTTCTGGCTAACCACGAAGAAACAAAGAAGAAATATGAGTTTTAGGAATTTAGTTAAATCCAAATTAATTAAATTCTTAAAACTATTCGCAAATAAACTTAATAACCGGGCTCACAGTTTTAGTAATGATGATAATAATACAATAAATATGATAATGAAAATAATATTATATGAAAAAATGTATTTCAGGAAAGTATACCATTTTATTACGACACCTATTTTATGCCGTTTTATATAATGTTTCATAATTTGAAATTAAAGTTTTTTCTTCATAAGAATTTGAAGGTTTATGAAAAGTAACAAATCAATGATATTCACCTCTGCTAGTCGACCATTTCCTAGATAAGGTGGAGGCCGGGGAGCATGCATTGGGGAGTACTGAGAAGCCTGCGCTGAAGCATGCATTGGAGAGTATGCTCCACTCCCGTATCCTGCATCCTCAGGAGTGGGAGTACTATGACCGGGAGTGTTAAGATGGTTTGAAAACTGCGTGGTCAGCTGACCGTTCCCTTGGAGCTGTTTGGATGCGTTTAAGTTGTTGATTAATTGATTCATCCCAACAGGTTGGTCTTTACCCTTCCTAGAATATTAACAGGTTGGTCTTTACCATTCCTAGAATATTAACAGGTTGGTCTTTACCCTTCCTAGATTATAAACAGGTTGGTCTTTACACTTCCTAGAATATAAACAGGTTGGTATTTACTCTTTCTAGAATATAAACAGGTTGGTCTTTATCCTTCTTAGAATTATAAACAGGTTGGTCTTTACCCTTCCTAGAATATAAGCTGGTTGGTCTTTATCCTTCCAAGAATATTAACAGGTTGGTCTTTACCCGTCATTACATTTTTTGTTGTTGTTACAAACTATTAAGGAAAAGGATAGAAAAAAGGACAAATAAAATTGCATGTACAGGAAGTAATCTCAGAATGACTTTTTAAAAATTTAATTAATTTTCATAAAAAATTATTTTAAATTCGTATCTCTATTTTCTACCTCACATTAATTCCATTTGACTTCTTCTGCTGATTTGAAGACCCAGCCGCCCTAGGATAATGATTTGTTATTAGAAGCCGAAAAATGGCGCTAGAAAATTTGGTTTTGGATTATTACTGAAAGAAAATGGCGGGAGAAAATTTGGTTTGGTTTATTCAAAATCTTAAATTGTGGGAAAACATTTGGTTTAGTTAATTCAAAATCTGAAATGGCGGGAAAACGTTTGGTTTGGTTTATTAAAAATCAAAGATAGTTAGAAAATATTTGGTTTGGTTCATTCAAAATCTAAAATGGTTGGACACTATTTGGTTTGAGTAATTCAAAATCAACATGGCTGGACAAATTTTAGTTTGGTTTATTAAAAATCTAAAATGGTTGGTCAATATTTGGTTTGGTTTATTCAAAATCAAAATGGCGGAGGTAAACCTTTTATTTTCAAACCAAGATTATTTGATTTAACAGAATACATTGTTCAAAATGTCTAGGGTCTACAATATTGGGTTACAAAGAGATTGGGATTGAAAAATTTCCTTGAGTGATGATTATTGTCGAGACACCCTGTAAAGTGAAATACCTTGTTGTGATGATTGTTGTCGAGACACCCTGTAAAGTGTAATACCTTGTGGTGATGATTATTGTCAAGACAACCTGTAAAGTGTAATACCTTGTGGACGGAAGAAGCTCTAAAGAGTCTGTTCTCTCAATTGCAACAGAAGCTAAAGGAACATCTATGCAAGGACTGACAAGACGAGGGGTATTCCCTGGAAAAATGTGTATATTAATTTAATCAATTAATCTTTTAATAAAGATCAATAAAAACATGATGAGTAATATTACCTAATAATTCTACAATTTCAGCCGCTGTTGGACGTTTAGTAGGTTCAATTCTCCAGCAAAGTTTTAGCAGATTTTCTCTAAAAAAACATGAAAATATTTAACAAGATTATTTTTTTTTATGTTTACTGAGCCGGCGATTAAAAAACTTCAAGAAAATACGACTCAGGTCTAAACTGTTATTGGGCCTTATTTACGGCTTAAGCTTTCGGATTTAAGTTGCATCTAATTTTCCACAGAGTTGAGTTCATAAAACCGGTTTAATATTGTATTTGGCGGATTTTCGTGGTTAGAATTGTCGCATTGTCGTGTCGCATTTTTACATTGTCGAGCATAAGATCTCGAAGCTGTCAATTCACATGACACAAGCTGTCGTCAGAGTTGGGTCTTAGATTGGGTTTTAAATTATACGACCCAAGCCGAAACTTTTAAATCTCGAGCTCTGGTCGTCTGATATAGTTATAATTATATATATCAACACAATACTAACAATATCTTTTCCCAGTTTTCTTTTTAAACAATTTTACACACAAGGACTATCATTATATACACATAAACATCTAAAAAATTGTAAATTTACAAGCCTTAGAGGGCGCTTCGCGCCCATCTTCTAAATTAATTGTGAACATGTTCTCTTTGTGTACATCGTAAAACAAAACAAAAATAATTCGCGGATTTTCACAAAAAATTTCGTGGATTTTCAAAATTTTAAAAAATTTAATGAAGATCGAATTTTGATGTAGACAAATATTTGAAATTTTGATCATTCATAAACCTTCCCTGGGATCCTTTAGATGTCCCACAAAAAATTTGGGCCCGATCGGTTCAGCCGTTTTGACGTTTATTGGATACAAACAGACAGAAAGACAGACAGACAAGCCAAATTTATGTATAGATTAAGATTATTAAGTTTTCATTTCCAAATATTTTTTCAACTTTGTGGTTTGACCAAAGGTTGTTTATTATGGTTATTTATTCTCGATGCGCTCCAATATACAGAAAATGTCGTCTCCTTAGTTATGGAAAGTAAAATCAGTAAATGGCGTCAGCGAGTGCAGGGACTAGTGACGTCATTCACGGATTTTACGGGGCAGTTACCATTTTCTGTTGCGCGCAATGCTCCTTGAAATTCCAAAACAGAGAGAGTGGGATTGAATTTTGTAGATCCAGAAAAATAATATCTGTGAGATGCCTGCGTAGAGACTGGCAGCTGGTGGGGTCTTAAATGTAAGACATGTGGTCGCAGCGCTCGGCCCCCTAGCCTGTCCTAGCCGCAGCGCTCGGCCCAGAAAGTGTCATAACTTAACCTAACCCGTGGCCGCAGCGCTCGGCCCAGAAAGTGTCTTAACCTAACCTAACCCTAAATAAATACTAATTTAATTATTTTTCTGGATCTACAAAATGTAATCCCCCTCTCTCTGTTTTGGAATTTCACGGAGCATTACGCGCAACATAGAATGGCAACTCCCATTTTAAAGGTCCATTACTCAGGAGACGACATTTTCCGTATATTGAAGAGAATCGAGAGTAATTAAGCAAATTTTGAAAAACAACCTTGACTTATTATAAATAATTTACAGTTTGAAATACCAAAGGTCTACGAACGAACCATCAAACAAAATTATTCTATTACAAAAGAAACTGTGTAAAAGCTTTCTTTTAGATATTTTTGAAATCCAAAAATCTTGATATTTCAGTTCCAAAACATAAAATCTTAGTTTTCATATATAAAGAATATTAATGCCATTTTTATTATTTAAAAATAGATATTTAAGAAAAATAAAAACAAAAACTTACAACTGAGTTTTGATACCGGATGGAACAGTTAGAGTTATTCCAGATTTAACTTGTTCAAGAACCTGGTTGTTAGATAACCCCTTAAATAAAAATAAAAATAAAAATAAAAAAATATAAAAAGTATTTGTCACTCACTCAATATTTCTTAGCTCTATATCTTTGCAACCATTTATATTTCACACTACAGCAAGAATTGATTTAGTAGCATTCAAAGTTTGAAATATCAAAGGTCATTAGGTTGCCAAGTTATAAGGATTAGAAAATTCGAGTTTTCAATTTCTTTATAGTTTTTTGTTAGATTATTCTAACAGTTTGAATTATGGTTTAAATTCTGTTAGATATATCTTAAGAATAATTAAATGGTGCTTTGAATCTGCTACAGTGTTTTAACATATTGTCACATTGTTTTTTTTAAGGTTTTAACAGGTTTAATTAGATTATTCTAAAATTTTGTACAATTATTCTAACATTTTCTTCAATTATTCTAACATTTTGTGCAATTATTCTAACTTTTTCTTCAATTATTCTAACATTTTGTACAATTATTCTAAAATTTTGATCCATTATTCTAACATTTTGTTCCAATTATTCTCACATTTTGTTAAACCATCTTAACATTTTTGAAAATTATGTTATAATTTTGTAATAAAGTTTGTACCTGGAATGGAAAACTTCCAAATGTAATAATTTCGTAAAGAAGAACTCCAAAACTCCAAATATCGGAGCTAGGAGTGAACAAACCGTCTGCCAGGCTCTCAGGAGACATCCATCGGACCGGGAGCATTCCTAATCAGGGCTTTGATAAATCCACAGAATTAATTCAGAAATTGAGAAATTTTGTTAAATTTTCGAATGAAAATTTGCGAAAATCAATTTTCTGGTTAAAGGAATTGATTCTTTGCCACAAATTCAGTTTTTGTAAAGCCTATACCTTTGCAACATTATGATGTAAACCTTTGATATTTCAAACTTACATTATTTGATCTAATAGCATTCTACGACATTGAGTTGTAACGAAATTAGAAAATCAGAGTTTGTGACAAAAACTTAATTACTTTAAGACATTAAGAGTTGAAAAAGATTATCAAAAACTTGTATTTAAATTTTATTAGCCCAGATTAATTCAACAGAAAAAGAAAATAAAAAGTACCAAATCTACATTTTAATAGAAAATTTCAGTCAACCTAATTATAAAAGTTCCTTTAAACAATTAAACATGATTCAACATCCATTAAACCTATATCTAACAAAAATATATTTGTTTTGTAACTAATAAAACAAGACATTCGTATATATATCTGTTGCCTATAGCCGGCCAAACGACTGGACCGATTGGGCTGACATTTTTTGTGGACACTTAGGGGGGGGGCGTTATAGGCTAAAAGAATCGATTTTGTTAATATTTTTTTCTTGAAATTAAAAAAAATTCTTTCTTTTTTTCACGGGCAACGCCGGGCCCTTCATCTAGTATCTAATAAAACTACCGGAATTTGTCCATGAATATTTAGAAACATTAAATTCTTCCAATAAAAACTCTTAAAGGGACTATCAGCGTATATCAAGTGAAAATTATACATAATGCATCATTGTTTAAAATTTTGAAAACCGATTATTTTTAATTGTAGTTTCGCTGCAAAAAAGACTTGCGCATTTCTAGTACAGGGAAAAAAAGAAATGATCAGAATGAAATTCTTTTAAACCAGGAAAAACGATACTTTATCGATGAGAAAGTCCCTATAAAGTCCATATAAGAAAGTCCCCTATAAAAAAGTCCCCTATAAGAAAGTTCCATATAAGAAAGTCCCCTTTCAGAAAATGCCCTATCAGAAAGTCGCTATCAAAAAGTCTCCTATAAGAAAGCCCCTATAATAAAGTCCCCTACCAGAAAGTCCCTATAATAAAGTCTTAGATTGACTTTGAGTCGAGTTCTAAGTAAACATCTCTGTTTTGAGAAAATACAATGGAACTTTTTAATGAGTTTCTCTCAAAGCTTTCACAATAAAGAACACGTCTGTTGTTTCCACACTTTTCCATTAATACGTACTTTTAAAGAATAATATGTACTTTTATTAATACTGCGTACTTTAAATTAGTACATCTATACACATGCCCAGGGTGGATAGAAAAAATTATTTAAGTAAAAGATTTAAGGTTGAAACAAATTCCCTAATGCAGGTCCAATATAAAATTAAAATACATCTTCACATGGGTTTCAAAAGATCCGTATTAAGAAACACTGAATTCTGAAATTTTGATAATTAAACAAATTAGAGGCCAAAAAACTGTAACATTTGAGACCAAAATATTGGCAGAATCCGATATTTATTTTGGCCACATATCAAGCAATTTTGAAAATTGAAAATATTTAGATGCCTTTATGAACATATATTTTGGATTTTTAATTGTGAAGGTTTTTTTTTGTATTTTGAATGTTTTAATATTAATGTAACTTCTATAACTTGTTAGAACCAACCTTTTGTATATGATGAATTGAGTCTTTGCCGCAAACTCAGATTTTTTAATCTCTATATATATCTTTTCAACCCAATATCGTAGACCTTAGATATTTGAAACTCTGAAATATCGAGGTGTAACCATTAGGTTGCAAAGATATAGGGTTTAGAAAAGAAAATTTCAGTTTGTTGCAAAGACTTCATTAATTTTTTTTGCAGGTTAGATCGGAAGATATATTATATCCATGTGAAAGAGGGGGGGGGGGATATTGAAATTGTGAGAATACGTTTAAGCCTAGAGTATGTTTGAACTTAATAGAAAATCTTATCTTGAAATTGAAATCTATGTTGAGTTAGGTTCCGATCTATACACAAACTATTCCAAACTTAAACTATTCAAAACTATTTCCAATCTTGTAAGATGAGGGGGGAGGGGGTACCTCTTCTACTGAATCTGTAGTAATCGCTCTCGAACATGGCTCGCGTCATTCCAAAATCCGCGAGTTTGACAGCTCGCGAACCGTTCACCAAACAGTTTCGACACGCGACATCCCTAGAAATATCTTGTTAGCAATTGTAACTTTATTTATATTAATAGGCTATCTTCTATTATAATTGAACATTATTTCTTTGTATAAATTGTAACAACAAAAACAAAACAAAAAGGTTAGCGGATTCTATGAAAATGGGGTCATGTGAGGTCCCACACAAAATTTGGGCCGGATCTGTTCAGAAATTTTTGACGTTTATTGGATTCAAACAAACAGACAGACAAATAGACAAGTTAAATATAAATTATATTATTTTAAAAGAAATTCATCAAATTTGGTATATGCCTCCTTTATGCAAAATATATATATATATATATATATATATATATACTGTTCTTTAAACATGTTTTGATTGACATGATTCCTCTTATGCTTTCAAACAAATTTGAGTTTGAAATACATTTCCCGAACTGTTTATTCAAAGTATAAATATTTTCCGAATTGTTAATTCAAAGTATAAACATTTTCCGAATTGTTGATTCAAAGTATAAATATTTTCCGAATTGTTTATTCAAAATATAAACATTTTTCATATTGTTTAAAAAAAATATTTTTTATACTGTTTTGAAAAAATTCGAAAAGAAATTCTATTTAGGGTAGAAAATCTCTTCCATTTAACTTTTTTTAAAAACTCGGTGATGGTGATGGACCGAACCTCTGTAGAATAAAAAAATAGATGTTAGTTCCACATTTATTGAAAATATATTTCGGTCTGGGTTGACCCTCGTCATTGTTTTATTTAAACGTAATGAGTTTCTATGTCTTACATTAAACACTTAAAATCTAATCTATAAATGGAATTGGAAATATAATTGAACATTTTTCTTTTTTGAATATTATTCATTTGGTGGCTAATATTCATTTTACACTTTTGTATTGTATTTTTTAATTGTACTGGAATCCAGAAACAGAACCCGAGTTTCCCGAATGGAATAAGAAACATTCGTTTTTCTAAATATCCCAAGGGAAAGATCTGACACCTTCTGTTTTGATTCGAAATATTATTCCATAAAGTGAGTTTTGTATTTTCTTATTATTTCTGTTTCTTGCATTAATATTTAAACAAAAAGAGGAAATCAAAAGAAGGAAACTCGAAACTCTGATTCACTGTAAGCCTCGACTTTAACGCGTGTCGCAACACCTTGGGCTTTAATTTTACCTCACCAAGTCACTTAAATTTTTATGTAGCCCTAGACATATACATTCTGTAGCTGCAAAGTTTCTAGCTAAAGTTTAAAAGGAATAATTAGCTAAATACTATAGCTCTATTTTTGCGATATATTTATAGTTTGCAGTACATTCTCTGCTGAATTTCTGTTTATGCTAGTTTCAAATACTACTGTACATACAGTGTGTACATACCTGTGTACATATTTGAGATCTGCTAGGTAGGCCAGCCCACGGGCAATATCAAGAGCCATGCTGGTCAACCGACGGTTTGACACTTCATCTAACTCCTCCCTGAAAGAAAATATACTAGGTTGAGAACCTGGTGTCCAGGGGGTACTCATAGTTACTCCCGCCGTGTATTTTTTCTATTAAAGTGGACCCACTCAACCTAGAATCTAAAAACCAAAAGCTAAACATATTCCCATGGTTCTCTCGCGAAATCAAACTGAACATTTGAGGCCAATTAGTCAAGGGTTCATGAGTTATGATCGGACAGATAAACTAAGATTAAAACTTTAGGTTCACCACTGTAAATGGTCTATAATATAATTAATAAAAAAATAACATTCCAGCTTGGAAACCCAGAAAATTCTTGCTTTAATTATAGAAATGCCCTTTTTCATATTTTTGGTAATTTGATAAATATGTCCTTATTCAGGGCATTAACATATTTGAATCTCTATAGCTAACGTTTATAAACCTCAGACATCAAAGAGTTATTGTCCAGAAATATTTAACAATTTTAGAAAAATGACCAATTCTCAGAACACCCTTTATATTCGTACTTCCATCACTTTAAATATGGATGTTGTTTGTTTTGAATATTGATCAGTTTAACAGATTTCAAGGGATATAATACTTTTAAAAAATATACACTGTTTAAACAGATTATCTGCGTACTCTTTCCAAAGAGGGTTTCTTAGATGTAGGGAGGGGGGTGAAAGAAATAACATATTTTTCTGATAAAATTCACGAAATCTACAAATAACTAAAAATAGTCCTGGATTATTTTAGGACATCTTTTAAAGTAAACAAATTGGTTTTGTCAAGAGTTCCTAATTTCCAATATTGGAATTATATTCATACAATCTTTGCTCTTTTTTCTATAGTGGTGTTAATGACAACCAACTTTTAAATATTTATTTTATTGGTAACATCCTGCATTTTTGAGACATTACAGCTTTTCCTGATGGATGTTATTTTCTTCCAAATTTTCAATTTCCGCCAATAAAGACTTCATTCTATAGACTTAAGATTTTTTAGGAGATCCGAGGTAGACTTTCAATTTAAGTCTACATCTTCCTAGAAATCTACCTCCTAGAAATCTACCTCCAAGAAATCTACCTCCTAGAAATCTACTTCCTAGAAATCTACCTCCTAGAAATCTACCTCCTAGAAATCTACCTCCTAGAAATCTACTTCCTAGAAATCTACTTTCTAGAAATCTACCTCCTAGAACCTCCTAGAATATACCTCCTAAAAATCTACCTGCTAGAAATATACCTCCTAGAAATCTACCTCCTAGAAATCTACCTCCTAGAAATCTACTTCCTAGAAATCTACTTTCTAGAAATCTACCTCCTAGAAATCTACCTCCTAGAATATACCTCCTAAAAATCTACCTGCTAGAAATATACCTCCTAAAAATAAACCTCCTAGAAATCTACTTCCTAGAAATCTACCTCCTAGAAATCTACCTCCTAGAAATCTACCACCTAGAAATCTACCTCCGTGAAATCTACCTCGTAGAAACCTACCTCCTAGAAATCTACTTCCTAGAAATCTACCTCCTAGAAATCTACTTCCTAGAAATCTACTTCCTAGAAATCTACCTCCTAGAAATCTACCTCCTAGAATCTACCTCCTAGAAATCAACCTCCTAGAAAATTATGAAAAAGGTAGAATTAGAAAATTGTAAGACATGGTTATAAATAATAAATTGAAATCGGAAGATTTCTAATACAGGGTGTCCCACGAAACATGAAACAGTAAATAGTTTAGAATGTCTCCATAATATGTGTTAAATTCTTTAATACCAAAGACAATAATACAAGTATTATATAGGAGTCATATTATAGTAAAATTAATTTCCAATAAAATATGCTTGAGCAAAAGATTTTTTAAACGATATAAACTGCAAACAGCCTTTAATATCTAATACAGTGCATAAAAGACGACATTCAAAACTATTTACCAACTGTCATATTTCTTGGGACACCCAGTAATTAGTGAATATATATATATATATACGTCAATATATATATAATAATGAAGTATGTTCAGTGTACAATGTACATGAGGTCACGTTTCTAACCTTTTAGCTCACTGTAAATTCTGTTAAAATGATGTATGTGGAGTCTCTAAAAAACGGTGTGTTTAGTTTTTTAGCCCTCTAAATGGGGGTGGGGGGGGTCTGGTTTACCTTACAAAGTAGGCCAAGTATTCGAAAATATGCCCAGTCTCTTTTTTAAAGATTTAAAAAATAATTAGATATAACTTTATTTTTACGTTTTTTTACAACAGAATAAAATAAATTGTGGATTTAAAAAGATTTCACATAAAAAGATGTAAGATTTTTTTAAAAAATCAGGTAAATTTTTCTCTTCCAGTAAGTTTAATGTAATAGATGAGTCTGTGACCTATAAGTCTGTGACCGATGAGTCTCTGACCTATAAGTATGTGACCAATGAGTTTGTAACCGACCTGTGACTGATGAGTCTGTTACCGTTGAGTCTGTCACCTGTAACTATGTCACCGACGAGTCTATGACCGATGAGTCTGTGACTGATTGACAGATGAGTCTGTGACCGATAAGTCTGTGACCAATGAGTCTGTTACCAATGAGTCTGTGACTGATGTGTCTATGACTGACCTGTTCCTCTCATTGACAAGATGCCTGCGGGCAAGAAGGTAGGTCTTGAGGTCACCGTACAGCATGTACTCCATCACAGTGTACACGGGTTCATTCCTTGTACATACCCCCAGTAGCTTCACTATATTCTAAACATCAAGAATATTAATGTGTGAAGTAAGGTGTCCACAGTGTACAAAGTGTACAATGTACTATAACCGTGTACAAAGTGTACAAATGTACTATAACAGTGTTCAATTTACAAAGCACTATATATCACATGTATACATTGTGCGATAAGGAAAGTTAATTGCAGCATTAAATTTTGACAATTTTTATAATTCACATAATAGTTTTCTATGACCAGAATATTTCATTGATTTTTTATGTGAAAGATGGATCCCATGTCAGGCTTCGACATCCCTCTTGTGTTTACATTACCACCCAGAGACAGTACACGGCAGTACAAAAGATTCGTACACCTCTAAAAAATAACTTTCCTTGCATTATAACCTTGGTGCGATATACCTATAGCTCACCTGGCTCTTTATAATATGTAGTACAGTATATGCAATACCCATACTGTATGTTAAACAATATACATAGGACAGATTAAATATATATTTTTACAAGTACAACGTCGGTACAAGTATTAGATACACATTAAACAATTAAATGAAAAGACAATTTTACCGAAAGACATTTTGAGTACAATTCAGTTATACTCAGGAAACTGTGAAATAGGAAGACGACATTTTACAAACATTATGTGTATTGATGTTGATATATACAGTTAAACCCTAAATAAGCCATACATCGAAAGAATTCATCAAATGTCGTATTCTTCACTTTCTGATAATGGAATGTTGCAGATATTTAGTTTTTTTAATTAAATGATTATATGGAGCTCTTTTAAACTGTTCCCACATATTCATGGCTATTTATTTATTTTCGCAAATCTTGAGATTTACGTAAAATAGTATAAACCCATTGAAAAGTTGTCAAGCCGACATTTGATCAATTCTTTCGATGTTTGGCTCATTTAGGGTTTAACTGTACAACTAACGTTTTTTATATAGATATAGGTAGCCTAAACCACAACTTATTAAGTGAAATGGATCAGTGAACATTGTATACAATTACTGTGTTTCATTTCAAATTATAAGTGGATAACTTAAGTTTATCGGTCGTCTTCTTATCCACAGTTTTAAGGGTTATACTGTATATATGTTTGAAACAACATTTTAAAAGAAACAATGTGGCTAGTCCCAACTTAAATTTTGATCCAATTTTGCAAAATATCAATTTTAATCTTGCTAAAAGATATAAAAAGAAAAAAGAAAAATAAGAATAACCAAACAGATTCTAGTACAATAGATGGCAATGTAGAATTTGTACACTCTCAGTACAGCTGTATTCTGACGACGTCACAAGTGTTTATTAAGTTTTTGTGTCCAACAAAATTATTAATAATGGTGATAATTTTAGATCTTACAGTAAAACAAGTGCAATTTTATGTGTTCTTTATTTTCTGTTTTTACATTTTTTTTATTTAATCTTGGAAAACATGTAAATTAATGTGGGAACATTTAGTTTTCCTTAATATATTTGACACTTGTGACGTCGTGTATATTTGGTCATTTTTTGCTGCAACCTATTGTACTTGATAATCTATTTGAGAATAATAATAATTATAATATTGTAAATCTAACTAAACAGACATGTATGAAACTATAAAATAATAGTCTTTACTAAAAATATTGTCAAAATTTAAATTTTGATTTTTATTAATGTTACCCTGTGTTCAAATCTCTTCATCATCTCTGCTTCGCTGAGGAAATCTATTTTAACGTCATTGGTGCTCCCCACTTTTAGAGTTTTTACAGCCACTGCTACCTATATTATTAATCTTATTCATCCAAATTATTAGTTTTATCTAAAAATTAAATTATTTAGTTTCAATAATTAATTTTTAATTAATTATTAATAATTTTGAATTTTTATTAAATTTGCACCCCTTTTCCTCTTAACAGTTTTCGGGAAATATTGTTGCCCTTAGAGTCACAATTTTTCTAAAAATTCGCGAAATTTTATTTGTGGATTTTTCAAAATAATAAATGCCAATATATTTTTTTTCTCTTAGACAAAAAATCACATCTTCATTTATAAATCAATAAATTTTCAACCTTTTTAATTACGTTTAGATTATTACATTCACAAAAACTGTAATTTTATCATTTTTGGCAGTTTTTATTTGAAAAATCTCGCTTACCCATCCTTTCTCATCAAAAAAGCACTCTCCCCCGTAAACTGTACCAAAGGCGCCCTCTCCTAACTTTCGGTTAATAACCACCCGGTCACGTGGTATCTCCCATTCATCAAGCGCAAATGCCGAGGTGGGTTCCATCAGACCAAGTGCGCGCATTCTTTCCTCTTGCGCGCGCATTTTCATCTCGTATCTAAAGTAAGAATGTTTAAATAGAAAAATATGATTTAAACCGCAGAATAAATTTGGATCATAATAATTTTTCATAATAAGTTAAATCTGTAGTTGAATATAAAAGTAATCATCTACATAAGTTAAACTAGTTTTGACCCTTTTCTCATTGTTCACAACTCTAAAAGTAGACCAATCAGATACCAACAATCATAATTGTAATATTCAAAACTTTACTGTTAAATTCCTAGGTTTAAAAGTTTCAGTAAACTAATGAGCTATAAATGAATTTGGATCAAAATAATATTTGAACAAGCCTAACTTATCTGTTTGTGAATCTTTTGAATAAAAAAATAAAAATCTACTATGTTAAACTAGTTTTTAGCCTCAATCTATTACATTCAAAAGTTCTGACCCAGCATGTCCCATGTACGTAAAGCAATGGTTTACCTGTGTTTAAAAACGAAGAAGAAGATGAATATGAGAAGAATCACGAATCCGAATCCAATAATAAAGGAAACTAAAGAAAACTTAATTAGAGATCTTTTCATATTATTATTAGACCCTCCTCCCCTCCCCTTATTTATCAAGAAGGGGTGTATGTTTTTATACGAAGCAAATCAGTCTTTATTGGAAATTCTAATCTAGCTATTGAGTCCAAATTGCTATTGAGCCAAAAATCCAGAAAGATCTAGATAGAATAGAAGGAATTTATTCATAATTATTCTTTTCTGTCTCAAAATGCATTAGTTATAAATTATAATTTTAGAAATGGAATAGTTTAAAAGATTTCAGTTTAAATCTATATATAAATTTGGCTTGTCTGGGTGTTTGTCTGTTTGTTTGAATCCAATAAACGTCAAAACGACTGAACCGATCGGGCCCAAATTTTTTGTGGGACATCACGTGTCCACAGGGAAGGTTTATGAATGATAAAAAAGTGTTTTAAAAGTTTTTAATTTTGCAAAAAAAATTTAAATTCTTGAAAATCCGCGAATTTTTTTTAAAAATCCGCAAAATTTTTCTTCTTTATTTTAAAATGTAAACAAAAGAACATGTTCACAATTTAAATAGAAGATGGGCGCGAAAAGCACTAAAAGCCTAGTTACATACATTTGTTTTCTTGTTTTGATTGTTGGATTGTTAGTTTTTATCACAAGAATTTCAAAAAAGTGACGAAGCCCAAATTTATTTTGATCCGAGTTCAAGAGTGCTTAAAATTTACATTTGCAATATATGTTACATTAGTTTATTTGAAAATTTACAAATTAAAACTGGAAAATCTTCAAATGAATTGAGTCGTTCCCACCAACTGAAATTGTCTAATCCCTATCTTTTAACCAGACCGGTATAAACCTTGGATTTTTCAAACTTAGACTATTAGATCTAACAGAATTCAAAGATTGAAATATTTAAGGTCTACGAAATATTTAAGGTTGCAAAGATATAGGAATCAGAAAATTAGAGTTTGTGGCAAAAAATTTTTTTTCTCAGTGTTTTTGTTTTATAATTTAAAAAGAGAAAATGCTTGCTGTGAAAAACGCATTTTATTGGGAAAGACTGAGGGAAAAATGCAAGATGGATCCAAGTTAAAAAAAGTTTTTAAAAAAACCTATTATCGCCAGCTGACATTCAATATCCAGAGAGGTGGCAAATCCCGACAAAACTCCACACTCCTGCAAAACAACAAAATATTTTTTTTTAGATGAAATCGAAAAATATATTTTTTAAGGATATATTTCATATTTAAAGAAAACACATTCTTCAAAGTAAGGTTAAATAAAACGAAGTTTATAGAAAATAAAAGTTTATCACAGATTGAGAATTGAAATTTACAAAATGTATTGGTTTACAACTTAAATGTTAACATTCTTTGCCCCCTGTTTTAGAGTTATAATAATAATTAATTTAATTATTACTAAATTTTTTATATGGTTTATGGATAATGATTTATAGAATCCAAAAAAAAGAAGTGATATTAAAGTATTAATGTTAAATAATGTTGATTCATTCAAAATTTAAAATCTTAGAGAGAGAAAAAATTCCCGCTTTAACTTAGGCTGTATACTATGAAACTTGTGGTTTATACCATTAAAGACGACATTTGATCATCATCACGATGTTACCTTTGAATGATCTGCAGGTTGGGACCCATCCGGAGTTTTCCAGATTAGTTTCAACGGTGCCCATCTATAACCAGAGCAATAATGTTACANTTTCAAATCTTATTTTTTGGATTTGTTTTCCTCAGAAATAGAGAATACTTTAATCACAATCACGCACCTCTGCCCCTTTAGTAAAAGTAAATTCAACCTATATGAAGCATAAAGTCTGACCGCGTCAACCTTGTTGCACTGGCTAATCCTTTCCATAGAGTTAGGTACAGTACAAACTGGGACCGGAAAGGTTGACCCGGCTCGGAAATTCAAATCTACTACGGCTGCCCGTGTAATTGCTATTGTTCCTGACATATCCGTCTCGCTTCTTCTCCCCCTTTTCATCCTCTCCTGCATCCAGTATATTTTACATTTTTTATTCATCCTGCCAAATCGATATGTTTTTTTGTTTCGCCAAATCATCTATCAAAAATCAATACAATGAAGACGACTTACTATTTAAAGGAATTGAGATTTTGCCACAAACTCTGATATTATAATTCCTATATCTTTACAATTTGATGGAGTACATATTTGAATTTTGATATTTCAAACTATGAAAGATTTTATATTAAATAATCTAAGTTTGAAATATCAAATATGTACCCCATCAAATTGTAAAGATATGGGATTTAGAACATTTGAGTTTGTGGCAAAGACTCAATTCCTTTAGACAATGCCAATAAGCAGTTTCTCTCTGTTTACTTGTTGACTTCTAATTTAAAAAAGTCTTCTTTGTGATAATATAATCTCCGACTACTGTATATAAAGTAGTAATCTCGAATTATCTGTTTGGATGTACGATCAAAACTTATAAACCCCTTGACCGGTTTGCCTAACATTTTAATATGGGAATGTTCTTTACCTGGGTTAAAGGTTAAAAAATTCAATGTGGAGCCTAGGTTTACTTTTATAGAGAAAACTTCCGGCAAGATGATAGAACATTTTATCCCCCAAGGAAAAGATGATTTGTCTAACTTAAAGTAAACTATATATATATATACACTGTAACTAGGTTAGTTCTTCCTTAGCTCTTCAAGAGAAAAAAAAACAAATTATTTTTGACAACTTATCTCCCCCCCCCCCCTCCTCCCACATAGATGAAAGGTTTGAAGGTGCAACAAATGTTTTAAATCCACTTCTAATGTGCATTCTCATTTCCGGTCTGTTAAGGTCAACTTCCGTTCTTTGATTGGAGAAACTTTTCTCAAAAGATATAGGATTTATGTAGGCTTAACCAACCCAAAGCAAAAGAATAAAATCGAAGCAATACACATCAAGATTTAAAAAAAAACATAAAACCATTAAACACAGCAAACCAGGAATTACAACCCTTTTTTGGTGCCGGGCCCTAAAAGGTCAATAACGTCCATATCCCCAAGAAAACTCTTCATTTCCTCCTTCCCCCCCCCCCCTCCTTTTTCTCTTTTCAACTTCCCTTTACCCCTTTTTTCCTTTATTTCTTCATTCCCCCCCCCGTGCGCGCAACCTCACTTCATCTATAAATTTTGAGATCCATGGTTGTAATATATCCAAATGTATCCAGACGTATCAAAATGTATCTAAAGATATCCAAATGTATCAAAATGTATCAAAATGTATCTAAATGTATCCAAATGTATCAAAATGTATCTAAATGTATCCAAATGTATCCAAATGTATTCAAATGTATCCAAATGTATCCAAATGTATCCAAATGTATCCAAATATATCTAAATGTATCCAAAAGTATCCAAATGTATCCAAATGTATCCAAATGTATCCAAATGTATCCAAATGTATCCAAATGTATCCAATTGTATCCAAATGTATCCAAATGTATCTAAATGTATCCAAATGTATCTAAATGTATCCAAATGTATCCAAATGTATCCAAATGTATCCAAATGTATCCAAATGCATCCAAATGTATCTAAATGTAAGATATACTGTGCCTAAAGGTTCATCATTAGAACTATACTCAGGTTCATAAACTCCAATAAGTTCAGTAGTAGGAGAATCAGTCTCATTTTGACCGTTATGCCATTGCTTCGTCATGATCTAAACAAAAAAGATTATTAATGACTAATTTTGTTTATGAAGGATTCAAAAACGCTGAAAATACGCAAATGTTCTTCGGTTTAATGAACGAAAAATATCGAAAATATTAGCTAAATCCATTGTAAAACCAGTTATTTTTAATGAACCTCCATTTTAAGAGTGGCATGTCTAATTAACAAATTATCCTTGAAACCTTTGTCTGATCAAGTATGAGTTAGATATCCACATTTGTAACTTTGACAAAATTGAATAGTTTTAATTTGGGGTTATTCTACAAATTTTCTACGATCGGAAAACAATATGGAATTAGCAGAATTAAACAATAAAACGGCATATCCGATTGAAGGTTTAAAGTACCGGTTTTTGGTGGGTGGGTCGTTATTTTGGGTGGTGTCTATTTTACCTGTGAAAGTCTTGAGTTTCTATTATAGAAATTGATCCTGCCAGTGACTCCCTGGAAATCCACTTTCTTGATAATGTTTACAAACTCCTCGACAGTACGTTTAGAGTGGAGATCTTGGATGTAAGATTTATTCTGACGGATTAGTTCATCTAGAGAAACCGCACACATGTCAAAATAGGGATTTTAAAAAAATCTTTTCACAAACTTTGAATTTGGAAATGCCTATATTATTGCAACCTGACCCTTTGACATTTCAAACATGTTACAAAGATATAGGGATAAGAAAATCAGAGTTTGTGGCTTAGACTTTAAGAGATGATCTGAGAGCTTTCAAACTGCTCAGTCCTCTGTAAGAACTGAGTATTTGCCACAAGTACTCTGCAACCTGGCGTGGTCGACCTTTAATATTTCAATCTATAAATTCTGTTATATCCAACAGTGTAAGTTTGAAATGTGAAAGGTATTTGAGTTTGTGATAAATACTCCTGCCCATCAGAGATGCTTTAAGAAATCACCAGCTCTATTATAAAATACTGTACACTAGCCACAAACTCTAATTTTTTCTAATCACCATATCTTTGCAACCTTTCAGTGTAAACCTTTGACATTTCAAACTTAGTATATTTGATCTCACAGAAACCATAGTTTAAAATATCAAAAATTTAAAAAGTTTAAAATAAAGTTGAAAATCAGACTTTGTGGCAAATGTTCAGTTCTAATTTTATTTTCAAAATCTGACAATTTTAAAACCAAGCTTCCAGCCCTCCATACCTTGGCTCAAGGCCTTTTTAAAGGGACTGTAAAGGAAAAATGAAAGGGAGTATAGATATACCTTAGATATTTCAAACTATGAATTCTGTTAGATCAAGTTATCTGAGTTTGAAATATCAAAGGTTTACAACTTCGAGTTCTAAAGATATTGTGGTTTAAATATTTGATTTTGTTCCAAAGACTCAATTCCTTTATACGAAAATTCATAATTATATGCAATTTTGTAAAAAAGTTCTAGTATTAAACAGATTATATTCAACAAATACGCAACCAATCTGAAAACGACGATATCCGTCAGGTTTGCTCCTTTAATAATTTATTTTTTTATTTTGCATCAGATAGATGTCTTAGATGTATCGTTCAACGCCAAGTTTCATTATATACCCAATTTCATTTATCCTTGACAGTCCCTTTAAGAGTGGTACAGAGTCCCCCCCCCTTTAAGAGTGGTGCCCCCCCTCCCTTTAAGAGTGGTGCCCCCCCCCCTCCCAAGCCAATTCTCAGATATCATGAGAAAAACAAAAATATTTTTCTAATTTTTCAGCCGAATATAATTATAATTAGAAGGAAGGAAATAAAATTGGTTTATATTTCCATCTCAACATTTCTGCGTCATCTTATGCGTCATCTTATGCTGTCTGTGTGTTCCTAAAGCAATTGCGTACAGCCAGACAGCGTCATAAACGTATCCACTGTATTTGTTAGGTTCGCTGTCAGTGTTAAAATTTATCCTAATTCACAGAACAAAAAATAACAAATAAAACTTAAATGTTAAAAAGCAAAATTTTCTTTTAAAATAAAAAAGTAAAAAAATTTGAATTTTCAGAGAAAAGTTAAAAAAACACTTTCAAAGTTTATTCATAATGATTTAATAAAAAACATTCGTTTGTAAAAAGAAATAATCAGCTTAGGTATTTAAAAGATGATAAGTGAAATTACTTTTTATTTTATACTTTAATCCAATTTTAATTTGAAAAGACTTCTTTTAATTTTATAAAAGAATTTTAACAACAACTTGAAAAACTGATGTTTTGCTATTGTTACTGTTTCCTTCTGGGTTGTTGGTCGTTGGCACTGAAACATAAATAAAATTAATTTGATAAAATTTAAAAATGCAACTAATAATAATATTGGGAAAAATCAAATCATGATAGAAAAACATATATATGTTTATATATAATAAAACAAGACATTCGTATATATGTTCCCTATAGCCGGCAAAACGGCTGAACCGAATGAGGTGAAATTTTTTGAGGGAACCCAAGGGTGCCCCGGGGTAACATAGGCTAATAAAAATCTAAATTTTTTTTTCTTCCAAAATTCGAACTTTATTTTAAAAAATCTATTTTCCAGCTAGTTTGTGATAAAACGGCTGGATTTCATTCTTCAGATTTTTGTTTTTAATAAGAGATGATTTAAAGGAAATAAGTTTTTGACACAAATTCAATTTATAAAAATCCCTAAATCTTTGCAACCTGATTGTGTAAACTTTAGATATTTCAAACTATGAATTTTGTTATATCAATTATTATTGAAACTAGAATATTTGAGTTCGTGGCAAGAACTCAGTTCCTTTACAAAGGTTATTGGTTTTCTATTGTCTAAGGAAGAATCGGAAAATTGGATATTATTGTTGAAAGGGTTCAGAGGTCGGAATATACAACACTTGATCTCGAAATTCACATGTTGACCTTTTGATTTGAAGTGATTCAGTGATTAACCCCGGAAAACTGTCTTAATTTATTCGTGAGATCTTTCCGTTCCGAAGTGTTTGGATTAATTTTTAATATGAATTCTTACCCTCCAGTTTGATCAGCTGCGGCCCTAAAAAAAAGTTATTGTTAATCCATTGAATGTTTTCTTTTTGTTTATTGGATTGCAAATTCTAAGAAAAATCTCAAGTTATCAAGTTCTCTCAAAGTTTCAATTCTAACTTAAATTGTTTTCTAAACTTTGTTGTTAATAAAGTTTCAAGAACGGATCCCGGAACAAAACCAAGCAGAAATTGTTTTAACTTTATAAAAACTTAATAAAGTAAAACCTATAGTCTATACAAAAACAATGAGCGACTATGAAAAATATCGAAATGTAAAGAACATTAAGATTTTTAAACAGATAAGGATAAAAGTTTAAACAGGGTTGCCCACAAGTTAGACGCCTTCTACATAATCTTAAATTCAGCACACAAAAGCCTCAATTATGCGAATGCTTTTCTGTTCTCTTTAGATTTTGAATAAGGATGAAAAGGTTCATTTTTGTTAACTTTATCACCCCCCTCCCCTCTATAAGTTGACCTACATGTGACGGGACTGAGCGAATTTAGTTCTGCTAAAAGAGAGACGTCGATCCAACTTTTTCTTCCACTCTAAAACCGTCTCATTCGTCTGGAAAAAGGAAAAAGTTTTTTTAGTGCACTTAAAACATTATATTAGAAAAATAGAGTGATCTGATACATCTTTGATACCTTTCTATTTTGCAGATTTATTGTTTTAACATCGCAAAGGAATTGAGTCTTTGCCACAAACTCTGATTTTATAATCCCTATATCTTTAGAACCCAATGTCGTAAATCTTTGATATTTCAAACTTATATTATTTGATCTAACATAATTCATAGTTTGAAATATCTAAGGTCTACGACATTGGAATCCAAAGATATAGGATTTAGAAAAGCAGGGTTTGTGGCAAAGACTCATTTCCTTTGCAATTTTAGATTTATCAAGAGATATATCCTTCATTTTCCCAATAACATTAGTTTTTATAGAATTTTAAGGGTTTGGACTTTTAAATGGCAGCACACAAATTCTTTGAACATAGATAAGCTTCCAACATTTCAAAACTATATTTTGTAAAGGTTTGCTTTTTTTAACTATTCAACCATTTTATTCTTAGAGAAAATAGAAGAGAAATTAAACCAAAAACAAATGTTTAGACTAAATGATTTTTAAATTTCTAAAACTTCTGAGGTTTTCCGTGGAATCTTTTAAAAACCTGAACATTTCTGAAAACCACGAATGTACGCATCTTTGTATACTGCAGTGTACTGTCTTTGGGCGGTAATGTAAACACAAGACGGATGTCAAAGCCGGACATGGGATCCATCTTTCACATAAGCAATCAATGAAATATTCTGGTCATATGGAACTATTATGTAAATTATCAAAATTATCAAAATTTAATGTTTTTAACCTCCTCGAATACTAAACGAACACTGATGCATCTTGTTTACAAATTCCGCCCAGAGAGAACTGGTTTCAATATGTACGCAGAGTATACGCATAACCTTTCTTTGCATTAAAACCTTGATCTTGCCTAGATCATTACTTATACTTATAATTATCGAGTACTGCAAATCACTGCATGGTGTGGAAGGCAGGAATTACTAAATAGGTGTAAATTCTACGTATTTTTTATTTTCTTTTCATCATAAACAGTAAATACACAAGATTTCATGAGTTTAAAAATTTAGATTTTCATCAAAAATTAATTTCAAACATTTAAATTTAGTACTCAGAAAACTCGGAATTTTAAATTCTAAACCTTTCATTAAATAATTGTTTGAAAACTTTGTTAGGTTGGATGCTACACCGATGAGAGAAAAATCAAATCAAATCATGCTGTTAGAGCGTCCTATCATCCACCCTAGGGAGTCCTACCATCTCACAAACTTAAAGTGAATTTTCAAAAATGAAGCAAGGACTCTTATAGCTTTTATTAAATATAAAAATATAAAATAAAATATTCAATAATTATTTTAATTCCTTACATAATATCGTTTTAAAAACGAAGAAAAAACCACGAAATCGAAACAACCGTTTTTAAAACGGTTGTTTTTATGAAGTTCATTGTTTCGGTAACGATCTTAAACGATGACCCTACCTTAACGATTGTCAACGATAAATATTCATTAACGATCGTTAAGGACAACTATTCGTTAACGATCGATAACAACAACGCTTCGTTAACAATCGTTAACGGCGACGCTTCGTTAACAATCGTTAACGGCGACGCTTCGTTAACAATCGTTAACAGGGACCCTTCGCAATAATGACCTCTATTTGATGACGACAGTACTTCTTTAATTAATTATCTTTACACTAATTATGTCATAATTACCAATCATTACCTTATCCAATAACTAACCAAATCCGACTTCTATGGATATCATACTTCAAATTAAAGATGACTGTACTGTCAAATATGAAGCCTAGGGTTTCCGATTTGCTACTATTTAACTTAATACTCTAGCTATATTTGGGAAGGTGATTTTCATAGTCGACCATTTTGTTTCAAGTTTTAAGTACCACTTTACAAACAATCGGCAATTTGAAATATTTACTTAGAAGTTGACAAAATATTACTTTTTGCTTATGATTAAAATTCTTTTACGAAAGCTACAAAAAAATTTCATAAATTGTCTTGAAACTAAATTGTTTAAAAATTGTTAACGCAATTTTACATTAAAAACTTAAGAATGCAGATCTCGAAAAACTTCTAACTAAATTATGTTTGTTTAACTTTTACTTATAGGATAATGATTCAAAATTACGACATGATTGATGTAAGGATAATTAAAGATGGACTGTCGTCATCAAATGTACAGTCATTATTAAGAAGGGACGCCGTTAACGGTCGTAAATGATCGTTAATGAAGGGTCGTCGTTAACGATCGTTATTGAAAGGTTATCGTTAACTCATATTTATTAATAACAATTTAAAAAAAACTATTGTTATTTGTTTTCTAAGAATTTAAAACGAGTAAGTTTTTTTTTGTACTGTACTGTACTGTACTTTACTGTACTGTACTGTACTGTACTTTACTGTACTGTACTGTACTGTACTGTACTGTACTGTACTGTACTGTACTGTACTGTACTGTACTGTACTGTACTGTACTGTACTGTACTGTACTGTACTGTACTGTACTGTACTGTACTGTACTGTACTGTACTGTACTGTACTGTACTGTACTGTACTGTACTGTACTGTACTGTACTGTACTGTACTGTACTGTACTGTACTGTACTGTACTGTACTGTGTACTGTACCTGCATAAGTTGAGTATCTGGAGCGTAGTGCGCATGTACAAGTGACAGATGACCGTCAAGAGCTCTAAATATAAAATATATTAACTATTTCCAATCGGGTAAAAATGAAAATGTGATATTTTTTTACATTTTTATTTTTAAATTTTAATTCTTTACAATATTCATTAAACAATTATATTACATCAGAAGTAAATATTTTCTCAAATATTACCTTTTCATTTGTTCTGTAGTGCAGTCTGGTAGATGACCAGTAACAAACCCGTCATCTAGCTCCATTGGAATATTGTAGAATTCATCACTTCTACAAGGAGAACATAATTAATGGGACTGTTATTGTTATTTCAAGTGATTCGCCATTTAAAGAGAGCATGATTCACAACAGTACTCTTAAAACCTTATTTGGTCAATAATGTTTTTTTCTGTTCTGGAAATGCGAAAGAAGTTTTTTTCTGAGAAACTACAATTAAAGATTATGAATTTTTAAAAAGATAAATATGAACATCTTGGTCATTCTTCAATGTTATATTGCAAGGAAAGTTATTTCAGAGGTGTACACATCTTTTGTACTGCAGTGTACTGTCTCTGGGCAATAATGTAAACACATGCCTGACATGGGATCCATCTTTCACATAAAAATCAATGTAATATTTTGGTCATAAGAAACTATATATGTGAATAATCTATGTACGCAGAGTATACGCAACTTCAATTAGCTTTCCTTGCATTATAACCTTGGTCATTCTTTAGCATACAATTGCTTTCAAGGTACCATTGCAAATAGAATATTATTTGGATCAACAAATCTATTTTAATTTTACTTTTAAATATTAAACTAATGTTTCATTAGTTGAATCTAAAAGTTTGGATCAGTGTGGCAGGTGGATTTTTCCCACGGATTGGAAATAAAAATCTAAGATAAAAATAATGGCTTACCCTTGGTTTTGTGAGGAAATTGGTCTCTCAGGATCTATAGAATTTAAAATAATGATAATAATAATAATGATATCTACATATAATAATTCTTATTAATCCATCATCAATACTTTTCTTCTTCTCTTATTATATTTATACATTTGTAGAAAATGATACTTTTTCATCAAAAGAAATGCTGGAAAAAATTACTGCAGACTCATTCATATAAATGTATATTTACTCCAAATTTACTTAAAGTTTAATGCATGTGTATTGTGTATTGTTTATTGTTAACTTAAACGAAAAAACAAGTATTTTCCAAGTTTTTTAAAACCTTCCTAGCTAACAATTCTATAACGTAAAACTTTATGAGGCTCAAAATTGTCAAAATTGATCTGGTCATCGACAATTTAGCTAAAACCATACAATACATTGCATTCTTCCATCATTCCATGGCTTCTAGACACTGACTGATTCCAAAGGGAATAAATACTTTAAAAAATAACCCTGCAATCTTTATATGAAATTATTTCCAAACCCTAAAAAAGGTTATGACCCAACCTGCCGTCGGTTTCTAGTCTGTTCCATTTTAGTATTTATTCCCTTTAGAAAGATCCAAGGTTTTTGGAAGGGGATGGGGCGGGGTGCACAAGATGCTCGAGGCGCTTTACAAACGAACATTTGATGAAGTAAATGCGTTTTCTGCGCTGGAAGCGTACTGCAAATACACTGCACTGTAAGTGTTCTGCAAATGTACTATACTTGAAGTGAACTGTACTTGAAGTGTACTGCAAATGTACTGTACTTGAAGTGAACTGTACTTGAAGTGTACTGCAAATGTACTATACTTTAAGTGAACTAAATGTACTGTACTTGAAGTGAACTGTACTTGAAGTGTACTGCAAATGTACTATACTTTAAGTGAACTGTACTTGAAGTGTACTGCAAATGTACTATGCTTGAAGTGAACTGTACTTGAAGTGTACTGCAAATGTGCTTTAGTGTAAATGTACTTGTACTTGTACCTGAATTGTTAAATGTACGTGAGATGTTTCCAGATCTATCTGTACTCTGAACCTTCCGTCTGAAATTATAATATTTATCTGAAGATATATATTTTTTTTACACCTTTCTTTACCATCAGAGACGGGATTAAGTTGACAGCAGTGAACACAATAAGAATCATCAAACTTTGATTTAAAATATTAATTTTTTAACATCTTTTAGAACTCCATCAATCGAATAAAAAAAAATGCGTAATCGTTCAAATGCAAAAAAATGTAAATGTTCCTCCAACAGGAAATCCACCAAACCCCGAAGAATGCAAAATAAATTTTGTTTTAAAATTAATATTAAAAAGAGCACATGTAGTCATTTTTAAACCAAAAAAGTCATTTTATTCTGGTAAAATAAATTTCAGATGATTTTAGAGTTAACAATTTTGGGGAAAATTGAATTGCACAAAATTGAGGAGATATGTTGCTACCTTAATTCATCAATATCAAACCAGTTCTCCTTAAACCATCCTGGTAAGAACCAAACATAGCCTCCGTCTATCTGAGTCATGCCTTGCTTATAGGCCTAGATAATAGACGGGGATAGTTAGATTATTTGGCCGCAAGGTGTCTCTGCTCTTGATATTTCAGGGAGAGATATTAATCTTTGTAAACTATGATGTGAAACTCTGTATCTTGACTATTTGATATAACAGAATTTATAATTGATTCAAGTCAAGTGGTAAGTTTTATATATAAAGATTTGCTACTCAAATTGGAAAACCACGAAAAGAATAAATAAGCTTATGAAAATACAGAACTTTGTTTTCTTTGGTGATCACAAGATCACATTTATATTGGAATAGATTTTTTTAAAATCTTATTTTATTAAAATTGTTTGTTACGAACCTCACACATGACAAGACGAGCTGCTTCCTCGTAGAAATCTCCAATAATAATCTTAGCACGTCTGTCCTTTAGGTCTTTCAGATACTAAATATACAATTCTTGTTCATGTAATTTCACGTATCCCCCCTCTCAATTACAGAATACTTTATTGATTTTTTAGTCTGATAGAAAAAGTTCAGATTTCCAGACAAAGCTGGGTTCTCTTTCCAAGCTAGTGCTTTATAAATTACTTTTTTATCGGACCTAATTGAATTTCTTTCTTTCTATTTCTATTTTCAAAGGAATCCAAAAGTTAATTTTTGGAGAAGATTTTATCATTAGTTGTTTTCACTCACCATTCCAAGATGAATTGTATCTTTTGGAAACTTTCTGTTTACAATAAAAGTTATCCCGCTTTTCTGGAACTCATCCTGATTTGATAAAAATTTTAAAAATTTGTGCTTAAAAGTTTTTTATTACTGAAAAATTTTGAAAATGCGCAAAAAATATTATGAAATCCGCAAACTTTTTTTATTTTTGTTTTATACTGTACAAAGAGAAGATGTTCAGAAATAAAGTCACAATTAAAAGTTGAAATAGAAGATGGGCGCGAAGCGCCCTAAAAGCCTAGTCATTTTATATTTAACTTATCGTAACAATAATTTATCTCCCCATTAGCATTTTAAATATGCAGATACATGCAGATACATTGTTTCTAAATATTTTTATATGATAAAGCTCTTTGCTTATATATATGTTAGCTATATGTTAGTTTATATCTATATATAAATTTGGCTTGTCTGTCTGTTTGTTTGTTTTGGTGTCTGTCTGTTTGTTTGTATCCAATAAACGTCAAAACGGTTGAACCGATCGGGCCCAAATTTTTTGTGGGACATCTCGTGACCCCAGGGAAGGTTTATGAATGATCAAAATTTCAAATATTTGTCTCCATCAAAATTCGATCTTCATTAAATTTTTTTTTAATTTTGAAAATACACGAAATTTTTTGTGAAAATCCGCGAATTATTTTTGTTTTGTTTTACGATTTACACAAAGAGAACATGTTCACAATTAATTTACTCTAAGGCTAGTCTATATATAAATTTTGCTTGTCTGTCTGTTTGTCTGTTTGTTTGTATCCATTAAACGTCAAAACGGCTGAACCGATCGGGCCCAAATTTTTTGTGGGACATCTAGGGACCCCAGGGAAGGTTTATGAATGATCAAAATTTCAAATATTTGTCTCCATCAAAATTCGATCTTCATTAAATTTTTGAAAATTTTGAAAATCCGCGAAATTATTTGTGAAAATCCGCGAATTATTTTTGTTTTGTTTTACGATGTACACAAAGAGAACATGTTCACAATTAATTTAGAAGCGGGCGCGAAGCGCCCTCTAAGGCTAGTTTATATATATATATATATATATGTTAGCTATGGCTGGCCAAACGGCTTAACCAAATGGGCTGATTTTTTTGAGGAACCCTTGAGTACCCTGGGTTAACGTAATTTCCATTTTTTTCGAATTTTTTTGAAATTTGACTTTTTTTCAAAATTGAATTTTTAAAAATTCAACGGGCAACGCCGGGCCCTTCAGCTAGTTTTTAATTTATTCACATAATTACTGGGAGATTAATTTTGTTGATGTATTTAAATGAGAGATTGACTAATCTCTACAAATAATCGTATCACAAATAATCGTGAACAGATAATAAAAAAAATAATGTAAATTTAAACAACATTATAATATAAGAAAGTTAACCATCATTGTAAAAAGAATTTGTTACAAATAACAAACATATTTATATATTTTAATTCCTTTTTCTTAATATGTAAATGAATATATGAAAAGAGAAGACATCTAGCGTTGAAAAACTAAACTATATATCAAAATTCTAAAAGTGAGAGATGAGTTATGATAATAATACTGTAATAACAATAATAACACAAATAATTATACTAGTAATGATAATAATGATAATGGTAATAGAAATAATAATAATAATGATTAGGTCAAGCCGTTTGGTCAGATTTGTATATATATATATATATGATGATTGCATAAAAGCATGAAACAATTTGTTTATCAATAAAATGTTATAAGAAGATTGTTGCGTTTCAACTGATATATATATATATATAATGATTACTAGCTGAAGTGCCCGGCGTTGCCTGTGGAATAAAAAAATAGATTTTTGAAAAGACCAATTCCAAATCTTTAACCCATGGGTTTCCTCAAATTTCAGCCAATTCGGTCCAGCCGTTTGGGCATAACTTACATATAGACATACATACATACAAATATATATAAATGAGCAAATTTATAAAATTTAGATAATGATACCTGCATATGGGAGATGTGATCGCTATATTTTTGTCCCTCCTGGGTCAGAGCAGCTATTCGAGTCCATGAAAGCTTATTTAAAGTTTCAATGAACGCATGCCTGAGAAAATGAAAATTATGTTAAAATCCACGTAAACGTATTTTTATTCTTTTTAAGGTGAAATTAATTTCTAAAATAATTTTTAAGATTATTTTACAATATTCTAATAATCCCTTTAAATTCAGGCGGATTACTCCAACTAAAGACCATTATAAATCTGCTCTCGACCACATTGATCCAAAAGTTCCAAGCTCTCACGTGAGAATCAATGAGAATTTTCCCAAATATTTCTTAGATACTAAAGCTAAACACAAGTCCATGTCTAAAAGGCTCCAAAGAAGTATAATTGTGTAAGCGACATTTTATAGGCAACCCTGAACCCAATCGTAAACACTGATGCAACTTTGTATAGCAGTCTGGATCTATGTGAGTTCAATAAAAGATCACATAGAATATGAGTCAGCTAATTTTCACGGATTACTCTCCGCTGTGGATACTGATCTCAAGCTTTGTGGATTAGTAGCATGCAAATCTGCTCCTTCAGTAAAAGTAAATTCAACCTATATGAAGCACAAAGTCTGACCGCGTCAACCTTGTTGCACCGGCTAGTCCTGTCCATAGAGCTAGGTACGGTACAAAGTGGAACCGGAAAGGTTGACCCGGCTCGGAAATTCAAATGTACTACGGCTGCCCGTGGTAGATTAAATCCTACACATGTTCCGATCTCAGAGCTCCCAAACTCCCAAAGTTTTTGCAAATAATGGTGAGTTAACAAAATGAACCATTATTAATACAATTGAAAGCTGTTGGAGAAACATTTACTAGAACTGCAACATCATTTAAAATATATATACTTTATCACCGTTTACTTTAGATATATATTAAAGGAACTGTAAGCGTTATTTCAAGTCATCCTCCATGCAAAATAACTGTTCCCGATTCAAGATAGAAGATTTTTCTGATCAATAATGTGGAAGATATTGTTGTTTTTCTATGTAGAAAAACTACAATTAAAATAATCAGTTTTTGAAATCATAAACAGTGATAACTAACTTTTTTATTGGTATAGATGTGAATCAGAGTCTTTGAAGGATAAATCCAATTTTTTCAATTTATATTTTGCTTTGAGGACTAGAGACTGAGAGAGACAAAATTGATAGTTTTAAATCTAATTCTATCCTTCCACAATATGTTTAAAGGGTCAAACCGGCTATGTAAGGTAGTTAAACTGAGAATGCAGTCTTAAATGAATTCTAAAGAATTTGTCCACAACACTGTTTAACTACCTTACATAGCCGGTCTGTCCCTTTAAGCTGAGCTGAAAACTTTGGAATTTTGGATATTGAGATCAATGCTTGATCTCCTCTTTTAATAAATTTCAAGATTAATTTATTCTTTAGTTTGTATCCTTAATCTGAGTATCCAATGGACACACTTTTGATTTTCTTCTTAAACCGTTCTTTCTTGGATATAGTAAAGATAAAATCAAAAACCGGTTTTTTAAAATTAGAGAGTCCCTCCCGTTTCTGTATCTAATCTTAAATGGCGCGCAAAATTTTTAATTTATCGGCTTCATATTCGCGACTCTGATTGTTTGAATTTTATACACTTTTCAGCTGATATAAGCACAAGAATAGGTTAGGCTCGATAATAGGAAAAAGAGAGAATCAAGCATTAATCTATATATATCCACCATTCTAAAGTTTTCAGCTCAGAATACTGTATAAAATTCAACCAATAGAGTGGCTATGCAGACATCCGAACACCCAATCAGAAACTAGAATATTTGAAATTTTACACGCCATTTAAAGAGAGAACTCTCATTAGCCGGAACTCTGAATCTGATAGGGAAACTCATAAAAGAGAGAAAAAGAAAGAATTCAGGGGTTTGAAAATTAGACGGTTTCGATACTCCTCCTCGATGGGTAAACCTTAAATTCAATCATTTCTTTAATATTATTTTGGCGGATTTTCACCTTATTCATAGATTTAGACTCCTTCAATTTAAACATAAAAGATCCGCGAAATACGTTTAATACAGAGAAATGGCAGATTGAAGAGCAACGGTTAGCAGCTAAAATTAATACTAAAAAAGAGGCACGTAGTACCCGGAAAAATTAAAATTGCGTTGTTGCCGAAAACTCAAATTTTCCCACTATACTGTATATCTGATAAGATTATCATATTTAGATTATTTGATTTCATCCTTTTCACACCTGACCAATAATTCATAAATAGTCAACTTACTTGTACATCTTGTTTTCTGCAATTGTCCGGAAGAAGAATGGATAATCCTTGCTATTATCATTGGATATTGAACCTAAATCAAGGATATTATATATGGATATAAAGCAAGGATATTAAATGTAGGATATTGAGGCTAAACAAAGGATATTGAATATAGGATATTGAGCTTAAACCAAGGATATCGAATATAGGATATTGAGCCTAAATCAAGGATATAAAATATAGGATAAAGAACCTAAATCAAGGATATTAAATAAAGGATATTAAAAATAGGATATAGAGCCAAAATCAAGGATATTAAGAATAGGGTATAGCGCCTAAACCAAAGATTTAAGGATATATGTAGAGGCAAAACCAAGGAATTTATATATTGGAAATAGAACATTAATCAAGGATATTAAATTTAGGATATGCTACTGCAGTAAAATTTTAAATTTAAGAAAAACTCCAAATATCAAACTATTTCTTCATAGATTTAAAATTAAAAACTCAAAAAAATTTATTCTAAATCAAGTAAAGGATTTATCACAGCAAAATCTTTAAATGGTAAATATTCTTTTTAATCTGCGAAACAATCGGTTGAAGTTAAAGTAACCCAAAAAAGTTAAAATCATGATAAAGCCAAAGAGGCACGAAGCGCTCGAAAAAAATCCTTTTAAAAAAATTACCTTCAGCACTGTAGGTGATAACCACAGTTCTAAAATGTTTAGCTACCCCTGCCAGGGGCTCCACTGTATCAGAACAGGCGGGGCCTGAGCATAAAGATATACTAATAAAATTTTTTAAAATAATTTTTTTATAATAATGACATCAAAGCTTGATGCAAAGACTTAATTCCTTCTAGGTAACAGACACAAAAGTTTACCCTTCAGATCGTTATATTCCGTGAGATTTAGGTGATCAGAGCTGAAAACTTTAGAATTGGATATCCTTAATTGCGATCGTTTAATAAATCTGGAGATTAATAAGAAGAGTAGAACAAGCATTATTTAATCTGGAGATTAAGAAAAAGAGGAAATCAAGCATTGATCTCGCTATCAACCATTCTAAAGTTTTCAGCTCAGTATAATCTCGTTCTATATATGGAGTTCTTGTATTTTCTGTTAATTAATGTTTTGCTTTTGTTTTTCGTTTTATTCTGAGACTGATAAGAATATTTATTTTAATTTTAATGATTGTAATTTAGCAAAGACCCACCAGGCGGGGAGGGTCCCTGGGCCCCGAAAATTCCAAAGTGGAAAAAATTGAAATACTGTAATACTATTAAAATAATTTCGTACAATTTTGTAATTCTCTTCTACAAAAAATCTTTTTGAATAAAATAAAATAAATAGTTAATAATTTAACAAAGGTCTTTCTTCATCAAGACATTAAAAACATAGAACTAAATCAGAACACAGGCAGCCGTAGTACATTTGAATTTCCGAGCCGGGTCAACTTTTCTGGTCCCAGTTTGTCCCGGACATTGGGTAAATCAAGCAGACACTCAATAGGACTAGTCGGTGCAGCAAGGTTGACGCGGTCAGACATTAGGTTGAATTTACTTTTACTACAGGATCAGAGGTGCGTGAGAATAAAGGGTTTTCAAATTTTAAGTTTTGTAAGCCGGCTTTAAAAAGTAAATCTAGTTTTCAGGCAATGCTTGGTTCCCAAGCTAATTTCTTGATAAGTAAATTCCGTTTTTAGGCAAAGATGAGTTCTCATGATAAGTAAAGTTGTAGTCACTCCTGTATGCCGTGTCCATTAGCGCCTGAGCCAATCAGGGTTAAGTCATGTGTTTGTTGTCTATTCTGAACCAAGAAAAATAGTATGGCGGTAACATCTATCTATCTCATTATCCAATTAGAGATATGAATCCTTCAATCGGCACTGTCAGTAAATGGAAATATTTCCTTCTACTGAAACTAATCTGTAGTAGTAGTAGTAAAGCAATAAAGACCTAATTATAAATTGTGTTAAATCAAAAATCAAAGTTTGAAATTTATCAAAGGTATTTCCCAAGGTTGCAAAGAAATAGGGATTACACAATTTAAGGGGGTGGGGGGGGGTAAAAAACAATTCGGCGCGCTTCGCGCTCCACATTAAACAAATTTATCCCCCCCCCCCATCATAAATAGGGATAATAAAATTTGAATTGACACTACTTATCGTCACTGATCATAAAAATGCAAAATGCATACGGGCAGCCGTAGTACATTTGAATTTCCGATCCGGGTCAACCATTCTGGTCCAAGTTTGTACTGCACCGTACGAACATTGGGTTAATAAAGAAGACAATCAACAGGACTAGCCGGTGCAACAAGGTTGACGTGGTCAGACTTTATGCTTCATATAGGTTGAATTTACTTTTACTAAAAGGGCAGAGGTGCGTGTGCATACAGTTTAAACAGTTTATGAATGTTTAATGATATTTTACACTGCACAAATTAACACTTAATCGTAATAAATTATATTATTTCTGAAGGCTAAATCCTCCAACTACTAGTGTAATAAATAAAATTAAATGTGTTAAACTTTAACAAATTCAATTTCAAGTTTAACACATGAACTTTTTAGAGCATTGAAAAATAATAAACCAAAAAAAGATAGATAGATTTTTAGTTTTTTGTTGTAAATATTATACTGACCTAGAACCCCTGCGGTGGATCGAAATCTTTCGACGTTTTTTGTTTTGACGACATCGATAAATTTTTTCATGACAACATCAGCTTCACATTGCCCATCTAAATATTTTTAACATTTGTTTAGAATTTTTCTTTGATTTTGAGATCTTGAAATCTAAAAAAATAACAGTTTGAACAATTTTAAATTTTCTAATTCCTATATCTTTGCAGTATAAAGGTGTAAGCCTATGATTTTTCAAACTTAGATTATTTAATCTGACAGAAATCATAGTTTGAAATATCAAAGGTCAACATCAAGTTGCAAAGATAAAGGGATTAGAAAATATGAGGTTGTGACAAAGACTCAATTCCTTTAGATCTAAAAGAAACATCATTGCAATTGAAAACGATTTTTTAAAATTTTTTTATCATTTTTAAAATTTGTTTTCTCATTTTTCCTTGAAACTTTTTAAAAGGGTTTTATCACTAATGTAAAAGTTTAATTTAATGTAAGAGAATTATTTTTAAGAAATTCTTGAATTGAATTTAATAAGTCCTCGATTTAGCGCTTCTAATATTTCTGATTTAAAAAAACTATTTTACATATTTTGTTGTTAAAAAATGTGTATCAATGCTGTTTAACAGCGTAATTTAAATCAAAATTGAATTCGAAAGTCGTCTTCATTGTATTGATATAATTGCTAACCATTGTATTATATAAATTTTATTATTAACAAATATTTACCTAAAATATCAAGACTAAGATTATATTTTGGAAGAATTGTAGAGTTGGCATTGATATGTTCAATTGCCATCAGCGCAACTAAAAAATAAGTTTAAGCTAAAACATGAATATTTCAAGTGAAAAGGTCGTTTCAGAATGGTACCTTTAAAGTTTTGTCTGATCAGGATAAAACAGATATCAATGTTTTTAACTGTTTATTTTCATTTGCGATTTCTCTACAAAAAAGACTTGAGCCTTTCTTGCTTGCGAAACAATGAAGACATTATTTGAATTAAACATCGTGAAACCCAAAAAGACCTTCCACATTATTGATCAGATTAAGGTTTAAAGAGTACGGTTGTGAATTGTACATGAGTTTATAAAAACTATTTGTTTTAGTACCTGGGGCTAATTCAGGAGCTTGATATCGTTTTCCAGAAATTGGGAATATTCCCCCAATATACAGAATTCCCTTATTGTCAATCTAAATAATAATACTGATGATTATAATATTTATGGAATTTATCACACCTAATATTTCCCGTTGTAGGGTTATTAAGTGACTTTATCGCCCTACAACAGGGCAAAAAAGTAACTTTTTCACCCTGCTTTTAAAATTTCAAATTTCATACCTATCTTGTCTCGGTGATAAAGTTTCTTAACCACCCTACAACAGGGTGATTAAGCAACTTTATCGACCTGCTTTTAAATAATTTGAGTAAAACTGAATAAAACTATACATGTTATTTAAATGGGTATTATTAAGTGCGAAAAAGTTTCGCACTTAATAATACCTTACAATGGCATAAATAGATATAAGATACAGATGGTGATGAAGAAGGTTAATAAATATGATGAAAACATTATTTTACACTTTTTTATTATAGATCTGAATAAGGAAAATAATGAATGAAAATGATAATTATGATGATGATGATAATGTTAAAATTGTGAAAATCATGAGAAATAGATTTCTTCTCAATAAAGAAAGAAGTGATGTCCTGAAGGCGGTAAATCATCTATTTAAGAAGATAAATCATGCTTTTTATCTCTTTATCTATCTATCTCTATATCTATCTATCTTTTATGTCTTTCCTAATCTTTTGCAAATCGATAAATGGGATCTGAGTTGGGAACTTCTGTGCTAGATGATCAAAATCACGAAAGCTTGATCTCCATATCTACTGTGGGTAATTTGAAAACCTTTGCATAATCTCTATATTTCAGTTATTTCTCCCCAGATTAAAACTCCTTTCAACCTCTCACTGGTATCATAGTTTCAGTAGATGTAAATATTTCCATTTACTGATATCACCGATTGAAGGATTCATATCTCTAATTGAATGATGAGAAAGATAGAAAGATAGATGTCACCACCATACTATTTCTATTGGTTCAGAATAGACAACAAACACATGACTGAACCCTGATTGGATCAGGCGCTAATGGACTCGGCATACAGGAGTGCTGGGCACTTTTATCGAAATAAAAAGAAAAGACTGTAATCAAGCATTGATCGTGATCTTAATATCCACAATACCAGAGTTCTCACTCCCACCTATGAACTTTCAGAAAAGTAGCAAATACCAAGGATTCATTTTCCGTTAAAATTTTGCACGCGGTATTTCAAAAATTGTTGGATGCTTTCACTTTTACATTTTATAAGTGTTACGTTATTGGCGGCTTTAGTAAACAAACATACATATCCCCCTATATACACTTTTGTTTAGAAGTTTGAGTTTCAGTGTGACCAGAAAACTGTGGAACAATTGTCATCTTCGTTATTTAGTTATTAAAAAAATTTCTCGAACATTTACTGTAGAGTGTAGACATATCTCTTATTTGTTAGAGTTAGATTCTGATTAAAACTTTCAATATTGTTTGTGAATCTAATATTTTTTATTTTATCAAATAACGCATTAAAAATATCCATTAAGGCTCTCCAAGAATTAATTATTTATTTTTAATCAAACAGTCTACAAAAATGTGTTATGTAAACCAAAGAATACTATAACGTCCACGTTTAATTATTAATAAAAATACTTTCCAAATTACTGTAACCTTTAACGAGAAAGATTTTTATTTTTTCATTAAATTATAATTATATTAGAATTATATTTTACATGGCTTTAAGGGTCCTTCCCACCCCCTATTTTCAGGTGACAATTTTAAATTTAATTGTCGCCATTTTTCATGAAACCACTAACAAAGGAATTGAGTCTTTGCCACAAACTCTGGTTTTTAAATCCTTATATCTTAACAGCCCAATGTTGCCAGACCTTAGATATTTCAAACTATGACTTCTGTTATATCAAACAATCAAAGTTTGAAATATCTAAGGTTTACATAATTTGGTTGTAGATATATAGGTATTAGAAAATTGAGATTTGTTGCAAAGACTCAATTCCTTTTCGCGTTTTTTTTTGGTATAAATTAGTGAATTTTCAACAATTGTAAAAGTCGGCATTTTTTTTCAAGGTTAAATTTTTCACTTCCCACCTGTCAGTTCACCAGACCTGGGGTCATGTGATGTGAGTTTCAACATAAAATTTGGGCCTGATCGGTTGGCAGACGCTAAACTCCAACCTTCGAGTGTGCGAGGTGGGGAAGACTTCACTGCAGATTTTACTTTTTGACATGACCACTTTTTCAACAATTTTCAATTAAATTAGTATTTATTTAGGTTAAGACACTTTCTGGGCAGAGCGCTGCGGCTAGGTCTAATTCTTTGAAGACATTTGAATAGAGAAAGACCTTTTCTAAATATCTTAAAATTTTGTATAAAGAAATAAAGAATAAAAGAATACCCCCCCATCTCCCCCATTTGACGTAACTTATTAAGCTGCATAGAAATGAATTATTTATAATTGGAAAAGAGTCCAGCAAAAGGGACTAATTAAAAATTTCTTTTAGAACTTTTGTTCCATTAAATTCTGTTATGAAATGTGAAAGATATGTATGTTTTTATATTTACTGTAAAATACAAAAAACCTTAAAAATCAAATATTTTAAGAAATGCATGATTTCAATTAGCTTCTACTTACAGTAGTAACCAAAAACTGTGGAATTTTGTCGTCTATGTCCTCTCTTTTAGTTAATACATGTCTCTCTTAAAGAATAAAATTGCTTGAAAACGTCAAACGAAAGTAAACTGTACGGAGTATTGAATACTGTTATATTTGCAATCATAACTCATCTACCAAGAAGCTAACGATAAGAAAAATGTATTGAATACTGTTATATTTGCAATCATAACTCAACTACCAAGAAGCTAACGATAAGAAAAATGTATTGAATACTGTTATATTTGCAATCATAACTCAACTACTAAGAAGCTAACGATAAGAAAAATGTATTGAATACTGTTATATTTGCAATCATAACTCAACTACCAAGAAGCTAACGATAAGAAAATGTATTGAATACTGTTATATTTGCAATCATAACTCAACTACCAAGAAGCTAACGATAAGAAAAATGTATTGAATTTATGGTATGTTAAAGGAGCAATTATCTTTTCTAATACTATTTTACTATATAAACAAAACATTCCACTGTTTTCTGGATACCACTGAGTTAAAATATAAAGATGAGAAAATAGGATGAATTTGTGTATAAGTACCTTGGAGCTGTATTTCTGGAACCAGGGGGATATTATTTCTCTTCCCTTATCTGTTCTTTTTGTGTCATGGAGCAACCACTGAAATTGGTTTAGTTATAGGGTGTCATATAGCAACCACTGAAATAGATTTAGTTACAGGGTGTCATATAGCAACCACTGAAATAGGTTTAGTTACAGGGTGTCATGTAGCAACCACGGAAATAGGTTTAGTTACAGGGTGTCATATAGCAACCAATGACATAGATTTAGTTACAGGGTGTCATATAGCAACCACTGAAATAGGTTTAGTTACAGGGTGTCATATAGCAACCACTGACATAGATTTAGTTACAGGGTGTCATGTAGCAACCAATGAAATAGGTTTAGTCACAGGGTGTCATGTAGCAACCACTGAAATAGGTTTAGTCACAGGGTGTCATATAGCAACCTCTGAAATAGGTTTAGTTATAGGGTGTCATATAGCAACCACTGAAATAGGTTTAGTTACAGGGTGTCATATAGCAACTACTGAAATAGGTTTAGTTACAGGATGTCATATAGCAACCTCTGAAATAGGTTTAATTACAGGGTGTCATGTAGCAACCACGGAAATAGGTTTAGTTACAGGGTGTCACATAGCAACCTCTGAAATAGGTTTAGTTACAGGGTGTCATATAGCAACCACTGAAATAGATTTAGTTACAGGGTGTCATATAGCAACCACTGAAATAGGTTTAATTACAGGGTGTCATGTAGCAACCACGGAAATAGGTTTAGGTACAGGGTGTCATATAGCAACCTCTGAAATAGGTTTAATTACAGGATGTCATATAGCAACCACTGAAATAGGTTTAGTTACAGGGTGTCATATAGCAACCACTGAAATAGGTTTAGTCAACAGGGTACCAATGGGAATCGAAAATGCCACTTTAATGCAAAACAATCGAATCCCTTTTTTAATACAAATGACGTACTGTACAGTGTACACCATATGATGGAAACGTTATAAATTGTACACCCGGCCTTTATTATCATAAAAGATCAAAGATAGGAGAATTACACCGTATACTGCACTCTTACACAATTGACCAAATTTTATTCAATTTCAAAGATTATGTTAAATTTGAAAATTTTAAGAATTTTAATTTAAATTTTAGCTGACTTTCACAGCAATTTTTCAAATGTAATGAAACTTATTACTCGCTTTTGACTTAAATTTTCTGATCCCAATTCCGATCTTTGCATCCTGGTGTTTTGACATTTCAATCTTACAGCATCAGGTTTTATATGATTTAGAATCTTAGCTGAGTTATGTACGGTCATAACCAGAAAGACCCAGAACTAATCAGACGACTTTACATATATATCTCTGGTAATAAAAACGCACAATAAAGGCAGACCACATTTTGGAATTGGCAAGATAGTCTTATTGTGTTAGTATCGTCTCATTAACCATATTTTTTAAGTTGTTTAGTAAACTCGAGGCATTATTTAAAAATTAATTCCCGGTTTTTCTGTTTATCACCATAGATAAATTCTTTTTGACAAAAAAGTAAGAAAATTACATGACTTATCAGTGGAAAAATTGAAAAATATAATCTTAGAAGTGTTTGAGCAGAGAAAATATATTAACTAATTAATAAAGACGACTTTTTACGTGGAGGTGCTTATGGTTTGTTTTCAGTTTGAAAAGGTATTATAAAAAAACTAACCAAAAATCGAATGTTTTTTTAAAAGGTTTGTTTTTACATGTGTATTTTCTCTTGGGGTCTAAATTTTGCATAGTGTTTATAAAGTCAAACAAATCTCTGTTTAGAATAAACTATTTCAAAATTTTTGATCTTCACAGGCCTTTTTGGAACCTTAAAAGTTAAAAAAAAAAAACACAAAAAACAGTACCATCACTTCAATTCCACGTTGTACAGATAAAGGGTGTATGTAACTATGTAAATAGTGTACATTTACAGAAAACATTACCTTACAAGCGATATCTCTGATTGGTACATCAGGGTTTTCTATCTTCATCTCGTTGTACATGCGTAGCAGGGAAACATATTCACTGCAAAATTGTACATTGTAAATTGTATGTATAAAATGTATCATTAACTCTCATAAAAACATGAACCAATAAGGGAAATCTTTAAACCCCAGATTAATATTTTCTGAGAGTTAATGACATTCCCTCGTAAAGAGCTATTTTAAACATGAACCTGCATACATAAGTTTTTAGATAAGCGGGATTTAATGAATATTAATGTTATGGTAAATATAAATACAAATTTATTCATGGTTAACAATTTAACGTGGAAAAATTGTTAAAAATGGTTTTTATATTTAATATTTGAAAACCAATCCCTCTAGGTCTTCAGTTCAATAAATTCAGTAGATACTAAAAACTATCTATTACAGTGATGATAAATGACAGATAAATGATGACAAATAATCTCAATTATTCGTTAGTAACCATATTTGGCCTGGAAAGGGATGGGGGTCAATTTGATTCCCATTTGACCCTAACGTTTTTTTGCGCTAACTTAGAAAGTATTTTAGCTAAAATTTTCTGGCTTTTATAATTTACCCATGTCCCTCATTTAAAGCTAAAGGCTTTTATACTTACTGCCTAAGTCCTCAGGCATTCTGCCTAAATGCCTTATTCTACCTATGCCAGACTAAATCTATAGTTATACCTACTTCCAGTCATTGGATTTCAACATTTTATAGCTTTTTTGGAAGCCTATAACAAAAGCAAGCAGATTGCACAATTTTTGCAAAGAAATTTTGCACAGATTTTTGCACAGACGCTTTTAAAGGGAATTTGCACATTTTCAGTTTTTCTCAAATACACATTTAGGGTTTAAAAATGTTTTTGCACATTTGAATTTGCTGGGTCAAGGGCTTTTCAAAAATGTATAATGTGTTGCAATTTACGCAATTTTTTGTTGCTTTTTGCACATTTTTTGCTTGACAACTTTACAGTAAATATTTGAATTTTTCCAAATTGGCCATTTTTTTGCAGATTATTGAAGTAGGGCTTTCCAAAAACGTATCAAATGTTATAGATTTGTATCACAATCAGAAAATAGAAGGGGGTGGTCAATTTGACCCCCCCCCCCCCCGGGAAGCCAGTCAGTAAAGCAGACGTCAGGCTAAATAGGGTTAAACTTTTCTGTAAACAGTTTATTTTTTATTTAATTTAAAACTTAATTGTAAATGTTAAGCTGATATAAGGAAAACCTATGAATATTGTAACCTGTAGGTAAAAGATAAGTTCTCAATGAAGGAGAAAAGGGACGGTGCACCACTTTCTACATTCTTCCAGACAACCTGAAAGAAATGAGGATATTGTAGTGGTTGAAAATCCCCGAAAGGATATTAAAATATCCGCAAGTTAGTTAATTAGGATTCTGTAAATTGGACACTTTTTACATTTTTTTTCAGAAGAAAACATTGTTTTGGTCTATTTGTTATTTTCCTGCTGTGTCATCCATTTTGCAGTAAGTTATTTTAAGATGAAAACTTTTTCCTTCCAGTTTTTGTCTACACTTTACACAAATTTTAAACCATCCAAGAAAACGGAAACTTTGTACCCTGGGGCCTGGACCGACTTTAGCTAATTTTCCCGAAAGTATAGGGGAAAGTTTCGGGACTGTGTTTAAGGAACTGTAATCGTAATTTCAAGTGACCCTCTATGCTAAGATGGCAATGCCCGATTTAGAACAGTACCCTTGGAATTTCTGCCTGTTTAGGTCTGAACAAAGATAATATATATATAGATATGCAGGCAGGTAGAAACCTCCTTCCTAAATTGCTTGTAGCAGACAACTAATTTTTGAACCTCTGAGAGAAGGTGCAAGGAGAGACATCTATAGCAAATTGATTACTTTCTATATTCCTTTCTCCCCTTGCTGCCATCTGTAGGAAATATGCATTTGTGTTATATAAACATACAGTACGCGTATTGCATCCTGTATAGTTCAAGTGTTGCTATCTGGACCTGTTTGACCAATAAAATTAAATTTCAAGGTAACACAAACATACAGTACGCGTTTTGTTTATGTTATGCTCAGTTGTACTTAGTAAAGATATAGTAGACAAACAGAAATATTGACAAACCTTTGGAAATGATCATTTTAGGAAAGTAATGGAGTTTTTTTTTGAGTTTTTGGGGTTAAGGGGGTGATGAGCCAGTTGTGAGCCATGAAGAGCCAGGAGCAACCGACCATAGTAGTGTTGAATGGGATGTATTGTTCGACCGGATCCTGTCCGCTATTAGGACTTTGTCCTAGATTCGATGTACTTTTTAGTCATAATTTTTATTTAAATTGCGTTAATTTACGTATGCCATTCAGTACAACTTGCACATTTAAACTTTGTCTAGTCAAATTCCTACCTCAGTTTTATTTGCATTGATTAATTAATTTGTTCATTAAGTACAATATGCAGTATACATTGTTGATACTATAGTACGCATTTAGTGTTATCACGCATAAACAAAGTGATAAATTAGCAACAATCCAGAGGATAAAATGCCATGCGTACGACAGAGATGGTGCTGTTTGCACATTTTCTCAAGACCTCAAAATTTATACCTGCCTGCATATCTATATATATATATTATCTTCGGGTCTGAATTAGATTTCATTTTTTTGTTTCTCTAAATCGTTTATTTTCATATGAAGTTTGTTTGCGAAAGTGACTTGCGCATTTCTTGTATTTAAGATGCAAATGAGAAACTCACAGATATAAACATTTTTCAATGCAAAAAATTCTGTAATTCTTGGGGTTTGTTCTTAAAGGGAAGGAAGTAAATAATCTATCGTATCAATACCAAATCCCAAATCAATTGATTTTCTAAACTTATAGAATAGTGATTTTTTTGTCCGACCATCAAATCGAAAAGGCAATCATTGGATATTAATGTTCGATGAAAATAAAAAATGGTTCATAAAATTCAATTTGGAAGGAAACCTTTTAAGATGTCTTAATTAATTACAAATACTCTTAATATTTAAAAACACTTGTTTACCTTAGAAAGTCGATGAGGGCTGTAAATACAAGCAATATCTTCACTTTCTCGCATTTGTAGTGGATCCTTACATGTCGGGAATTTTATCTAAAAATAATAATAATAATAATAATAATAAAAATAATAATAATTGTAATAATAATAATAATAAAAAAGGAGAAGAATGAGAAAAAGAAGAAGAAGAAGATACCTGTGTATATCTATATCTTGTTGTAAAAGTAGACGGATGAGAAGAAAGAAGAAGATAAGATCCATCCTGAATTCAACAGTCAAGAGTTGCTGCCAAAAACCCGCCCTATCCTCTCCACAGCCCCCCCCCCGCCACCCCTATATATCGGTCCCTTTCCAATAAAAGGCAATCCCCACACGCTACCAATGCACTTCTCCTAGCATCTACTTGTAATACTTTTTATTCCAGGATTTTTTAAGAGCATTCTGACAACTGGCAAAATAATGTGTACTGCAGTTTCTGGGAGAAATGTAAACAAGAGGTTAGCCAGAAAAGTAAACTGCAGTACATATCTAATAATGCGTACTGCAGGTTCTGTGAGGAATTTAAACAAGAGCTTAGCCTGGACAGTACACTGCAGTGCATATCTAATAATGTGTACTGGAGTTTCTGGGAGGAATGTAAACAAGAGGTTAGCCTGGACAGTACACTGCAGTACACATCTCATGGGAGTTTAAGTTAAATTTCTGCTATCCCTTATTTCTCTTTAAATCTATTGAATCATCTTTTAGATGAAATTTAAGAATCCTTAAAAGTTCTGAGAAAACATTTATTAATATCCGGCTNGCCCCCCTCTGGATAAGAGTATATTCTGCTGTTGAAGTCCCTGAGAATGTCGTTGAAGATGATCCAGAACCTTCTCCAGGTTAGGTCCAACAAACACCATCAGGATATACATACCAGAGTCTCCAATCAATCAATCAAATAAATTTTTAAAGTTAAAAATAAACAATTAAAACTATGATAGGACATTATACATCCCAATGTAAAAAATTGCACGAAAAATATGTAAACCAGTTAAATCCCCTCTCCCCACCAGTGTTGAAACTATGCTACAAAACCCTATATATCAGTCCTTTTATGGACCACACAGACTTTCACATCAAACCCGTGGGTATACAAATAGTGATGTAAGGACCAAACATATGAAATTCCAGATATTTTGAATAATAAAAAATTTGAAAAGAGGTGTTACAGTTCCAAAAACTAATGATATTCTATGTTCTGAAATTATCAATAATCAATCTCTGTAGGCTATGCTCTCATTACTCCTAACTCTTATAAGATACCTTATGTGAAACAATGAGCAATGAATATTGCATTCCCGTAATGTTGAGCATTCCCTTTTATCATTATTGCTAAGTCCATGGAAAACAATTGTTTCTGATTTTGCTGCATAGTGAAGCTAGCTTATCTTGAATCTAAATCTAGACAGACCCACACACTCCGTTGTCACTAGATACAGCCATTTAAAGTTCGTTCAACTCATCCTTATTCATCCTTATTCATCCTTTCATTCTTTTATCCTACTCATCCTTTCATTCTTTCATCCTACTCATCCTTATTCATCCTTTCATCCTTTTATCCTTCTCATCCTTTCATTCTTTCATTCTTTCATCCTACTCATCCTTATTCATCCTTTCATTCTTTTATCCTACTCATCCTTTCATTCTTTCATCCTACTCATCCTTATTCATCCTTTCTTTCTTTCATCCTACTCATCCTTATTCATCCTTTCATTCTTTCATCCTACTCATCCTTTCATTCTTTCATCTTACTCATCCTTTTTAATCCTTTTATTCTTTTATCCTACTCATCCTTTCATTTTTTCATTCTATCATCCTACTCATCCTTATTCATCATTTCATTCTTTTATCCTACTCATCCTTTCATTCTTTCATCCTACTCATCCTTATTCATCCTATCATTCTTTTATCCTTTCATTCCTTCACTCTTTCATCCTTTCATTCGTTCATCCCCTCATTCTTTCATCCTTTCATTCTTTCATTCTTTCATCCTTTCATTCTTTCATCCCCTCATTTATTCATCCTTTCATTCTTTCATTCTTTAATCCTTTCATTCTTTCATCCTTTCATTCTTTCATCCTTTCATTCTTTCATCCTTTCATTCTTTCATCCTTTCATTCTTTCATCCTTTCATTCTTTTATTCTTTTATTCTTTCATCCTTTCAGCCTTTCATTCTTCCATTCTTTCATCCTTTCATACTCTATTTCTTCCTCATCCTCATCCTTACATCTCTTTATACTTTCTTTTACCCATCCTTTCCTTCTTTTAACCTTCCTTTTGTTATTTTATCCTTTCATTCTACTATAATTATATTCATCCTGTCATTCATTTATTTCGAATAGTTATCTAATGCATTCTTTTTCCGCAAAACCTGATGCTCACTTATTAATTTCTCCGAAAGTTTGCTGAATTTTATAAAACTTTTCTGAGTTGTGTTTTCTAGATTTTTGACAATTATAAAATAGCTTATTAGACGTTTATTAACATGAATGATTTAATATATTTTTATATAAATGCCTTCAGAGTTTTTAAGGATTATGCATTATATGAGATATTGATTCTTATTAAAAAATATTGATAATAGGAAAACATGTCATTGTTACCACTTTTTCAGTTTTCATTCAAAATAACTTGTCTTTAAAATTAATGTTAAATATCGTACATTATTTAAAAAAAACTATTGATTTTATTAAAGACTAAATTTGAAATCATTTTTTTCAGTTAAAAGTGAAAGCACTGAAAAAACATTTGAAAAGCATCCCTTTAAGTAACCCTTCATTTCTACAGTGGAATTCCAATTCACGAGGTACAGTTAAAACTTTGTTTTTTTCACTTTAAATTAGATAAAAAAAACTTTAAACATGTTCCTTCTTGTTCTTACTCTTCCTATTTTTAGCTCTTTCCTGAATTGATCAGAATTCCTGATCCTTAAATCACCCTATTGATACAATCAAAAATTCAGTTTCAAGCAAAGTTTTTTCTTTAGATTCTGTAAGATGCCCGTTAAAAGTTTATAAGATAAAACATACAAATATTTTACACCCATAAAACAAAGCACAGATTTTACAAGAGCCGCAACAAAAAATACAACAATTTTACAAGACGTACGCCACAAAATACAAAAATTTCATTACAAAGTAGGTACCTAAATAACTCTCTACCGTTTTTTATTTTTTAAATTCCAGATCACTCCCTTTCACAAATATTTTTCCAACAAGATTTTAGACCATCAACCTCCAAATTGATTTCTATTATTATTTTTTGATTTAATTTCCTGTTATTTGTTTGAGTATTGTTGATGTGTTGAACAGCGAAGATTCAACTAATAATAAACAAAAATAATTCACCAAACTTAAATTTTTCTGTTAATTTCTGTTTATAATTATCTGACTTAAATTGGCATCTATGCAACATGAATTATAGAGAATAATATCTGTGCTATTTCATATGAATTATCACGCATTTCTAACGTGATAGATTTTACAACGTATAGCCTCGTCATACATTGAAAATAAGAAGGAAAGAAAAAAAATTGGCAACTCAGAAATTGAAATAGTGAATGTGAAAATTTACAAATACGAAAATTTGAGTTTTTACAAAAATTTTCTTAAAGTTATTTGGTTGTTAAGGAACTGTAAGTGTAATTTCAATTAACCCTCCCTGCAAAGATGGCACGTCCAAATTACAACGATGCCCTTAAAAGCTTTGCCTGATCAAGTATGAATTAAATATCAAAGATTTTATTTTCGTTTGCGGTTTCTCTGCGAAAGTGCCTTGATCATGTCTTGCCTGTAAGAAGCAATGGAGAAATAATCACTTTTCGAGTCAGAATAATAATGTAATCTTTCACATTTTTGATCATATTAAGGTTTAATTTAAGGGTTCTTTGAAAACCGGGCATTGACATCGATCTTTGCTTGGTGGGTCATATAAAATTATGTTTACAGTCCCTTTAACGAACCTGGATAATCTGTTATAAGCAGAGCACAGTTTTGTCTGAGATCAGAGCAAAGTTTGGTTGTTCCTAGACCTCCTTTACACTCATTATTCGAGCAGAAATATCTGAACAATATATATGTTAATTTATAGATTTATCAGGGTGGATGATGATGATGATGGTGAAGATGATGATGATGATGATGATGATGATGATAATGATGATCTTGATGTTTTAAATGTACCCACAAAACCTTCAAGAGAAGACCAATTATGAAACTTTTGTCATTAAAACAGAGATGAAAAATTTCTAATTTATTCAGGGTGAGTAAAAAATAAACAGGGATTTTCGATGTTTTAGACAAAACATGAATACATTATATAATATATATACTAGCTAAAGTGCTGGGTATTGCTAAAGGAAAATAAAAAAATTGAAAAAAAGTTTTAAAAATGTCTTTCTTAAAAAATCTAGTTTTTTAAACCTTTGCACCCCCAGGACACCCATGGGTTTCCTCAAATAATTTTAGCCAATTTGGTCCAGCCGTTTGGCCAACGCAAGAGCATTTAATTTTTATTATTAATATTATTATGTATCACGCCAGGCAAGTAAGTTTAAAAAAAAGTTATAAATTCTTATAAAAATATTATTGAAAAAAAATATTATTGAAAAAAAATATTATTGAAAAAAAATATTATTGAACAAAAATATTATTGAACAAAAATATTATTGAAAAAAAATATTATTCGATAAAAAATAAACAAGAAAAAACCAAGAAAATATAGTTTTTTCATTAAGCTTGATAACCACTGAAAGCGTTTTACTGACAGGTTTGTTAGTTGAATTAAATTATTTCTCTTGAAACCCTTTGATGTTTAATATTCATAAACCCATCAAAATTATAATTAACAAAATGTGCGTCGTAATTTCTAGCCATTTTGAAGTTTATAATGAACATATTTACAGTTTGTAATTGAACGCATTAGAATTCTAGAAATTATTGGTTATTATTTAAAAAAAATGTCTTTATCTTTCAAACATTTTTAGTTTAAAAGCAGAGAACAAAAGTATAAAAAAATAGAAAATTAATTAGTAAAAAATGTTATGCCCTGGGTGGTCTCTTTTTAATGGTGAACATATATATTTTCAGCTGAGCTAGGGTAAAATTTTCACTATTAGTATTTTCTCAAGTGTTTAAAAGTAAAATATCACCCCAGCCTAAGTACACCTTTAAATATTTGCGCATTTTTTGCTATGAAGTTCCTGCATTCTTTTGAATGATCATCTTCCAGCATTAATATTTGGGATTTATTTTTAATAAGTACTTTTAAAAGTTTAAACTTTATACTAGATGTTATATAATTGACGTGTCATTTTTGTGTATTTATTTATTTTGATAGTGTTAACATTTGAATTCATACTTCTTTCTTTCCAGGGCATAAAATTATATAAAATCCTACTGGTTGAAGGGGCTCGTAAAGTATTTCCAAAAACATTTCTTTTTCTCGAGGGTTTTCGACATTTTTGATGAGATTTTTAACCAAAAAAGTCTTGAACCCTCTCGAAAAAGAAAAGTTTTTGGCTCAAATACTTTATACCTCGCATCCCTTCAACCAGTAGGGTTAGAAATAGTTAAAAATATAATTTTTAGTTCAAAATTATCTTAGAAGCAAAAATATCAACGCAGAATATAATAACTAGAAGCTGGAGAACTGAAATAATACTGCAGTATAAGTACAAGTAGTGAGGGTAAAATTTATCATATATATTTTAAGTTAATCTTACTAATTTGTAAAAAAGTTCCAAATGTCTAGTTTCCAAATGGCATTTTTGTAAATGGTTTTATTTTCCAAGTGTATGCTCTCACCCAAAATTGTATCAGTAATTTTCCAATTACTCCTTTAAACTATTAACAATTGCAAATCTATGTATCTGTGCTGGGCTAGTAGTGGAGGGTTGGCCAATATAATACTATATGGTTACCATGAAAGGATAAGACTCAGAAACGACGGAATGAAAACTATCTGTTTCCCTACATTCATAGTTTGCTGCAACTGGAAACTTTTTTCTTTCTTTTGAAACTCATTAAATATGCAATAAATATTGGGTCACATGATATTCTGTAAACTTACAGTACATTTTCATTATTAATTAATAAGTATGTAAACTTCTATGTAAAAACCATTATTCATTTGAATTATGTTTTAAATGAATCTGTAGCATGGTTAGGTTAAACCCTTTTGATACGTACAATCAAATTATAAACATGTATGGAGATAGCTTAACTAGGTTATATCTATCCTCCCTAATCCTATAAATACGCACATCTTAAACGCGCCTATTTCAACTGTGCTGTAATACGTAACATGATTGCCTTAATCTTGTGATATTGAGAACGGCGTAGGAAAAGTAATTATGTCTATTAACTTTAACTTGTAACATATAAATCACAAATATAGTCAGTTAGAATCAGAACTCCACTTTGGTACAGTTTAGAGTAATTGTACCCCCGTTGAAATATTTGGGTTGAGATCCTTCTTCAGATTAGGGTAGAGATCGATTTAAGGCTTGTTCGATAGCAAAGGCTTGTATCCCTGTGTGACATTTAGAGTACTGGATTGTCCCAATCATTTGGGATCGATATATATAGCTTGTTTGATAGCTAGGAGTAGTGTATTTTGGGCCCTTTCAGCTAAAATAATAACAATATACACTTTGTTGATTTACTACAATAAAACCCTGTTTTTCTTATATAACATGGGGGTGTTTTCATTTTCGGGATTCTTATCTTTTTTCTCTCCGGGGACAAAAATCACATACCAAGTAACCAACCTCTAACTTTGTCAGAATTTTTGTCTGGAAAAGTGTAGAATTTTCAGGCAGAAATAGAGACCAAAAATTGTTTAATATTTTTATGTTATAAAAAATGTAAAAAAGTGTTGGTTGAACTAAACTTTTTTGAAGGTAGTTATCAGGATATCAGAACAGTTTGGGAGGGGTGGTGGAGGTCGGTGCCTGGGTCCTCAATGTGTAGAGAAAAATCAATACCAGGATAGGAGGACGGAGACCGGATTAGTCAGAGCTGGGACTCGACAACGGAAAGAAGAGTATTAAAATGGTTGACAGAGCGTGAAAAAACTTGATTTTTTTTAGAAGGTAAAATATTGTTTAGAAAGAACAATTAGTTTGAACTTTTAAGGAAAGGTTTTCGTTCGGGATCTCTTTACAATATAAAACAATTTCCAGTCTCAATATCAGGTTGAAAAATGAACATTTTTTCCCAACAAAAATTCTGACAAAAGCAAGAGGCAGGTTACTTTTGTCGGAATCACTAAAAAAAATAAGGATTTAGAGACGGGGAAAACAACTAGGACTGAAAACTTATTAGCATAGTAAGTCGTTCCAGTAAAATCAAAACTAGGAGCTACAAGGATACAAAGTCGTACCAGTAAAATCAAAATTAGGAGCTACAAGGTCACAAAGTCATACCAGTAAAATCAAAATTAGGAGCTACGAGGTCAAAAAGTTTTACCAGTAAAATCAAAAGTAGGAGCTATGAGGTCATAAAGTTGTACCAGTAAAATCAAAACTAGGAGCTATGAGGTCACAAAGTCGTACCAGTAAAATCAAAACTAGGAGCTATGAGGTCACAAAGTCGTACCAGTAAAATCAAAACTGGGGGAGCTACGAGGTCACAAAGTTGTACCAGTAAAATCAAAACTAGGAGCTACGAGGACACAAAGTCGTACCAGTAAAATCAAAACTGGAGGAACTTCGAGGTCACAAAGTCATACCAGTAAAATCAAAACTAGGAGCTATGAGGACACAAAGTCGTTCCAGTAAAATCAAAACTAGGAACTACAAGGTCACAAAGTCATACCAGTAAAATCAAAATTAGGAGCTACGAGGTCAAAAAGTTTTATCAGTAAAATCAAAACTAGGAGCTACGAGGTCACAAAGTCGTATTAGTAAAATAAAAACCGGCAGAGCTATGAGGTCACAAAGCCATACCAGTAAAATCAAAACTGGGAGAGCCACGAGGTCACAAAGTTGTACCAGTAAAATCAAAACTAGGAGCTACGAGGACACAAAGTCATACCAGTAAAATCAAAACTAGGAGCTATGAGGACACAAAGTCATACCAGTAAAATCAAAACTAGGAGCTAAGAGGTCACAAAGTCATACCAGTAAAATAAAAATTAGGATTTACGAGGACACAAAGTCGTACTAGTAAAATTAAAATTGGAGGAACTTCGAGGTCACAAAGTTGTATTAGTAAAATAAAAACTGGCAGAGCTATGAGGTCACAAAGCCATACCAGTAAAATCAAAACTGGGGGAGCTACGAGGTCACAAAGTCGTACCAGTAAAATCAAAACTGGGAGAGCTACGAGGTCACAAAGTCGTACCAGTAAAATCAAAATTGAAAAGAAATTGAGACTAAAAATTGTTTAATATTTTTATGTTTTAAAAATGTAAAAAAGTGTTGGTTGAACTAAACTTTTTTGAAGGTAGTTATCAGGATATCAGAACAGTTTGGGAGGGTGGAGGAGGTCAGTGCCGGGTCCTCAATATGCAGAGAAAAATCAATACCAGGATAGCAGAACAGGAGGGAGGGCGTAGACCGGATTAGTCAGAGCTGGGGACTCAACAACGGAAAGAAGAGTATTAAAATGGTTGACAGAGCATCAAAAAACTTGATTTTTTTTTTTAAAGGTAAAATATTGTTTAGAAAGAACAATTTTTTTCGTTTGAACTTTTAAGGAAAGGTTTTTGTTCGGGATCTCTTTACAATATAAAACAATTCCAGTCTCAATATCAGATTGAAAAAAAATGAACATTGTTACTTTTGTCGGAATCACTAGAAAAAAAAAGGATTTAGAGACGGGGAAAAACAACTGGAATCCCATCAGCTTAGTAAATTAGAGAATCCGTTTTTAAATATTATTCATTTTTAGATTTGTAGCACCAAAACGGAGAGCAGAACCCGAGGATCGATATCCTGCTTGTTTGTTTTACAAATCGTTAAAACGATTTAACTTAGATAGGCGACAGTTCATCCACCTTTTTTATTAATAACCAATAAATTTTTTATATTCAATTCATTCAATTCATTAGAGAGGGAGAGAAATGAACTTAAAACTTTCATT